TTAATCTAATTTTTTTCAAACATATAACAATATAACGCGGCCTAAGGATTTTATCTACAATAGATGTGGTTAGTATATATGTATAATTTAGGATAAAATTGAAATGTTCAAAAACTTTGGAGAACAATTTAGAATGAAGATCGTAGTTTAGGGACAAAGATGAAATGTTCAAAAGTTTGAAGAATAATTTAGAATGATAGTCATAGTTTAAGGATAAAATTGAAATATTTAAAAATTTAAGGACCAATTTAAAATGAGAGATATAGATTGGGGATGTATAATGCAATTAGCTCTTATTTTTATTTTGATTATCTATTTTAAAATTTTATAAATTAGATTATTTAACTATTTAAATGTGTCAATCAAATCACTTCTCATTTATTTTAACGAATGATATGACGTGACCATTAAAACTTATATTCAAGTATGTTCCAAATCTACTAAGATAATAAATCTGATATTCAAATTCAAAATTTTTTATTAAGAAATTTATTTATTTTTAAAAATCTGTGATAAAAATAAGATAATATTTATTCAGTCATTTGATTAAAAAAGTAATATTAATTATTTAAATTAATTAATAATTTTCTAAAAATAAGGTAATTAATTAAACCTAATTTCAAGGCTTATAAAGGGACCAAGATTACAGTGTAAATTGATCTATCGCCATCCCTGATCCTAGGTCTAATATAAAAGGACATCACCTGTTGCTACGGGGATCCATCGCTCATATATTTATTTTCATTTGACCTATGGCTATAATAATGGGAGATTGCTGCTTTACTTTTGCCATTCATAATGACCGATTGGTTTGGATTTAGAATAAAACAACACACATTTCCCTAACATTGCTAGAAAGTAAGCAATTAAATATTTTGACACCACTTAAAAGCATTATGCTATTATTAAGAATTGCCAAGTTTTTGCAACTACACATAATTAGAAATAGTCTTGATTATATTATACCTTTTTTTTAAATAGATGCCCAACTATTTTTTAGTCATCCGGTACCTAACGTTACAAACGTTATCATCTTAAGTGTCCAGAATGTAACGGTCATTAAAAAATTTCATTAAGTGACACAAGTCACGCTCTGATAATTTTAAATTTTAAAAAAATGTAAAAAATTGTTGTATTTATAAAAAATTGTTTTTTCTAATATTACAAGAAAGCTTCAAATCCCTACAAATCTCAAATCTCAAACCCTAATCCCAACCTCCCTTGCCGGCCATGATCACTGTCGACGACATCGTCCTTTCCATTTCCCCGATTGATCGCCATCTCCCCTGCCGTCGTAAGAAAACTTGTATAATGACATTGATAGCTAGGGCACAAGCTAGTTAAACTGGATCAGTAAGTGATATTTGATCCATTGAAACAAAATACTTGTATAGGCTAAGGCCCACACTACATCTTGTTATAATAGACACATAAGCATATGGGTCACAACTAAACACTAATAAACTTAACAAATTCGACAACTAACTCATCTCTTCCTCTTCTACCCTCGATTCTTTTTTGAACAATTTCTACTCAAGTAAGGGAGAAACATATTGTTTTTAATAGATATTGAAGCCACAATCTAGGAGAGAAGAGATGCGTCAACTAAGAACTTTTAATTATATATTTTAAAAATTGTTGACTCTCATTGTTAGATCTTGAAAGAAGATGATTATACATCTAAAAATTAAACTTTAAGAAGTTTTCTTCCTTTTTTTTCAACATAATTTTCTCTCTCAATATTTTTGTGTCGTTGTCTTCTTTTCCTTTGATTTTAGCTAGTGGCGTTATTAATCTTAATGTTGATTGTTAACTGTAGTGCTGTAAATGAGACGAGACAGATCGCGAGCTACTCGAGATCGACTCAATCAAGGTTTGATAAATACTCGGATCGAATGGACTCGACTCGAGTTCTTAACGAGCCGAAACGAGCTACTTGATATTCGAATCGAAAAGCTCGTGAGCAGCTCGAAAACATAATATATTAAGATTTTATTTTTTAAAAATAAATTATTAATAATATTAACATTTATGTATTATTTTTTTTTTAAATATAGTAAGATTTTTGTGTATTTAAGGTTCGAGTTTGAGTTTGAGGCTTCAATCGAGTTAAGTTTAAGAATTTTTTTCTTCATTTTGAGCTGCTCACGAGCTTCAGTTCAAGATTTCGAGTTCGAGTCGAGCTTGAAAATTTTAAGCTCGCGAGTTTTCGAGTCGAGTCGAGTTTCATTTTAGAGTTTTCGAGTCGAGTTGAGCTTCATTTTAGAGTTTTTGAGTCGAGTCGAGCTCAGCACTACTCGAGCTCGACTCGGTTCGTTTACACCGCTAGTCAACTTTGGATGATTATCAGTCTCTTGTTTTTTATATTATGTTTTTATTATTTTTGAATAAGAATATATATCCATGTGACATTTTTTTTATATGCTTTTGTGGTATGCATTTTCCCTACATTTGTGGCACAATCATTATGACTTTTGATACGTTTTTCGCATATCATTTCTGTCGTTTTGGTGCTCGCACAAAGACCCTCATGTTATTTGTTTTCTGATTGATTTGTTGGTGGTCACGTATAGTCAGATCTCCTATTTGGTAAAAGGTTATTTGCCGATATAATCAAAATTATGTAGCGAAGCAGTATGTTAGATAGTTTGGTTCGCTCACCACTCTTTTATTATTTCGTAAAATGTCTCGTTCGACATAAACAATGAGTTTTTATGAAGATTACTAGGTTCTTTTGATGTTGGTTATCATTCTCAAGGGAATGTTTCATTTTTCTTCGTATCTTTGGGTCTAATATTTTATTTTTGTATAAATATTTTTAGGACTATTGTCCTCATTTTTCTCTTTCTTTGGGTGTGTTGTAATTTTGATTATTTTTTTCGTTTTTATTAATGAAATCTCGTTGCTAATGTTTAGTTTTTTTTAAGAAGATTCATGGATCTCTTTCACAAAAATTGAAGATTTTTTTTTTATTTTTTTCATATTTTTGTTTTAAAAAAAACACTTTATCATAACAATGCTAATTATTTGACGACAAAGTAACTAAAAAAACAATTTGAAAGTTGAGTGATCAAATCAGGAATATGTGTAAAGAATCATGAGAAAATGTAGTTTATCCATATATTTTTGTTAGGGATTTAAATTCCGATTATTGTCGCATTTTTTATTGCATTACGTTTATCGTGATTGCAGACATAATGGATGTTATTGCAGTGATTACGGGTAACACGATTATGCAATAATAATTTCGAATGGCACTACTACTGCTATATAAAGGACATTATTACAACAACGGACATAGGGATGAGCATGAGACCCGAACCTGACAGTTCAGGTTTTTTAAAGGTGATGTCCGGGTCGGGTCGGATTTGGGTTTAGGGTGAAAAATATCCGATCCGACAAAAAAATTACCTTATATATTTAGGAATAATTATAATAATACCACTCTATATATTATTTTTTTTCAATTAAATAATTATTTTTATTGAATAAAAATAATATTTTTATTATTTCGGGTCGGATGAGATCGGGTTCGGATTTTATCTCAAATAATCGGGTCGAATTCGGGTCGGGTGGATGGTATATATTATTCGGGTATGCCCATCCCTAAACGGACCACTATTTAAATCCCGATTTTTACTCCTTTAGCTAATGCAATGTAGGCCCCTAAGAGAATGCGCTGGTTCTTTGTAGTCCCTCAGTTCACCCACTCCTATTCTACTCACTAACATATTTTTTTCCCACTCACCACAATTATCCCTAATCTTATAAGATTAGTTCAGAATCCATCTTAATTATTTTAATATAATATTATGTAGCTTAAAAAAGTGGTAGCCAACAATTTTAATTTCCCATGAAAACCATGCCTGGTTTTTGGAGATGCCGACAATCATGGATCTTTCTTTATCTCTGTGTCAAGCAATATGGATATGGATGAATCACCTTTTCTACATCAAAATCTTTAACCCTAACAAATTAAGTAAAAAGCAATATATATATAAATTCAGAAAGAAAATTGATTTTAGAATAATTTAGATGAAATTCTAATAGAACTAGAAACAAAAACCAATCACGAACAATACATTTGAAAACAACCCCAAGTATCACTATTAAGATTTCGAGTAAACCAATCTTCGTGTTGTACATTTAACTTTGATAAGTGAGTTAAGTTCACGATAAAGATTTTTTGCATACACAAATATTTGAACTTGAAATTTTATTTAAACGATATCAAACTGTTTGCCACTTAAATTAACCCAATGGATCATGTGCAGGCGATTTCTTGTAGAGGAGGGGAAGCATTTAGCATATTTATTACGTTAGATTGTCTCATTTTTCAACTGGGAAGAAAGGAAGGGATAGAGGTTGCTTCACAAATTCATATCTCCCTATGATGGGCGGAATAGGCAATACGTGTGCCCTAAGGACACGGTTAATGGGCCCTATTTTTTTACGTAATCCCTAAAGTTTTTTCTTCTAAAAATTAATCTATAAATCTTATGTATTGTAATTTTTTAAATGATGTTATAATGATCTTTATTAACAATGTACGAATATTCTATAAATACGAATATTTTAATTTAATTTATAAAATAATATTTATTTTATTACCGAAATCGTTTAAATGATTCAATAAATAAATCTACACTAATATATAATAATAATAATAATAACAGTAAGTGATGTAGTTTGTCTGGTACATATTCACACCCATTTTCCACTTTTCTTTTCTCTCATAGTTGGTTGCTTCATTCTTGTCTCATGAATTTCAACCCTTGTCAATTTACCCATCTACCCCTTCGGTGCAATTCTCTACACGCATAGAGGCCCAGTAATAATTTCAAGTAGACCCCAAGCAAGAATCTCTTTAGAAAAACAGGGGCAAATTGGGTACCTTATTGAAAAAGCAACAACATGGTATTTTCCTCGTCCTAATCCATCCACTGTGGAACTCAATTGGCCGCTACTATAAATTCAAACCCCCCATTAATCTCCCATTACACCATTAAAACCAGTAAGAAAGATAACAAAATTCTCAACAGATAAACCTCTGGTCAGCATCGAGAGAGAGAGAGAGAGATGAGGCCTGCAAGCAACTCGACGGCAGCGACTACCGGAGCGGTGTTCCGGCACTGGAACTCTCCCATTCCGTACCTGTTCGGTGGAATAGCAGCGATGCTAGGACTCATTGCGATAGCGTTAGTCATTCTAGCTTGTTCATGCAAGGAATCGTCGACGCACGATCCCCATGGCGATGAAGCTGAAGAAAAGCCAGCCAAGCAAGGAGTGGCCGCCATGCAACTTGAAATGGAGCCCAAAATCGTTGTGATCATGGCCGGTGATGAAAACCCTACGTACATCGCCAACCCCATTCGCCATGTTGAACAACAAGTTTGACAGCACTCGGTTGACTGCGAAAGGAGCCAACTACTTTACACTAAATCTTCCAATCCTTTCTTTCTCTTTTCGGTTGCCATTTTCACGTCCAGATGGATGTAATTTTGCAGAAATATGTAAACGTTAGAAGAGTGCATTGAAAGAATATTTTTTTATAATCATCGGTATTTAATTTATTAGATAACTAATTTATATCAAGTACGGGTCTAGGCTGGGTGAAAGAGGCAAAGGGTTTGGGGAGGGCCAGTAGCCTAATGAAGCAAAGTAGCTAATTTGTGGATTAATTATGTACTTTGTGAGTCATTAGCTAACCCATAATTGCTGTTGCTGATAAAAATATACATATGTACATAAAGTTCGAAGAATGGTAATGGGTTTGGTTGAAAGACGTGGTGGCTCGAAAATGTAGTGTTTGAGCAGCTAATGTCAATATTAGAGGACTTGAAAGAGAGAAAAAGTAAAACAAAAGAGTCAGCGAAAAGAGGGTTGTGGTTTGCTTAACACATTCAAATGAATACAAAGGAAAGTGCAATTACACTTCACCTTTTGTTTAGTGGGAGACATTTGAAATGATAGTTTCCACCGGGAAACAAATTTGCTGACCTGTTTCCTTATTTTTGTTGTGTTCCCTACTGGATTAGTGGATTTGATTGGATTTTTCACCTTTTGGTTATCTAATCGGCTGCTTTGGGTCGTCAAATTATTGCAATTGCAAGTCAATATTGTGAGAATTTGCTGCAATTTGGACGGTCACTATGATAGTAGTGAATTTAATTAGATATAAGATAGCGAGTTAAATGTGCTGATTGACATCATATGTGGATTACATAATTTAATAGCTACGTTTGTTCGGTTGGTAAAATTATTCATCTTTGTTTCATTATATTCAATTAGGTCATGAGTTTTAAACACTATAGGAGCACTCCACTTTCTTCTCCTATAATGAAAATATGAATACGCTAATCCTCCCAATTTTTCTATCATATTTAATAGTTACATTTGTTCGGTTGGTAAAGATTTGACAGTTGTCTTATCCGGACGTCACATCTGGTAGATATTCCTGTGATATAATAACTCTTCGTCATTTGACATTGACACTCACACACCCCTAGTATTTTTGATGCTCGAACCCGAAACCTCAAAAATAATAATAATAATTGTTTTACCACAAATTAATTCGGTATTAGCTTAACTAGCACTTAATTTTGAGAATAATAATTTCAAAACACTATGGGGAGTGCTTCAACTTGATTTAGTGGGAGACTGTAAAATTAATTAATGGAAACAAAGAAAGGAAGTCTTAGTGGCTTTGGGGCATAAATGCCCATTTCTCTTTATTATAATAAACCCATAATTAACCAAAGCTTAGCAATGGTGGGCGGATTTCGGTTTCCATATGTGAATACATATGATGATGATTAGTCTCTTGATTGATTATGTGACAATACAATGTTCTTTTGCTCAAATTCCATTCGTTACGAAACTAAGCATTCACATCATCTTTATAGAATTTTACAGGCTATTAAATATTTTCAATTTCACCACTCAACTTCTGAATTGTTTATCTTTTGTTATTCCGACATTAATTATTTAACGAAATTATGACAAGATATCTATCTATTTAAAATTATAAAAAGCCTCAAACGTTTTTCTTTTAATTTATAAAAATACCCTTCGAATTTTCCTTCCCAATTTTTCAAATTCCTTTTTATTTTCCAACGTTTGATCATCTTCTTTTGAATCTCAAGGGTGAGAAAGTGAAGAATAAGGAGATGAACAATATATATTGATCTAATGGTAAAGGTTCATTTTTATTTGTTTTTTATGTTGTAGTTCCACGAGTTTTAAAGAGATTTTGAGAAAATTTAATTTGACATAATGATAAGATACGATGTAACAAGTTTGCTGATGTATAGAATGATCGTAGAAAATGTTACAATATGATGATTTCGATAACGGTGTGATAAAATTGTGAAACTCTAAAAGTTTATTTTATCAGAAAAATGATAACAATTAAAATTAAAAAGACAGAACAAAAATAGGTGGATGATAGATAGATTCCATTTCAGCAGAAAATAGGTCACGCCATCATGTTTTTATTTTAACATCCGATTTAAAAATTTGATTACTCAAATCAAAAATTATAAAAATTGAGTAGTTAAAGTAAAAAAAAATATAATCAAAGTTGAGGGATAAAAAAGTGTAATTTATCCTTAAAATTGAAAAATGCGGTGGATATCGATCTCATAAATTAGTGAAGCCAGACGCGACGAGACGGAGCCGTACAAAGAAAATTAAATAAATTACAGATTTAGTACTTAAACTATCAGTTTTAATTTGTTTTGATACCTAAATTTTTAATTTTTTCAAAACCCATACTTAAAATTTAGTTTTTTTACTTGTGGTTAAAAACTTTAATTTTCGTTTGATTTTAGTATCTCGTTTAAAATTTAACATTAAATTTTGAAAAAATTAAAAGTTTAATTATTAAAACGGATTAAAACTGATAATTTAGGTACTAAACACATTAAGGTAACGACATGACACTAAAATAAAACAAAACTTAAACTTTAGGTATTATTTTGAAAAAATTAAAAGTTTAAGTACTAAATGTGTAGTTTACCCAACAAAATTCACCCTTTACTCATTGTGTTGAATGATTTGAACTCTCCCGCTGTGTGGTATTCATGGTGGGAGGGTGTCAAGCTTTTGGTATATTCCATATGGACCCATCCAAAACATGTAAAATCATATATGACAATGAACAATATTATATAATGCAAAAATGACATATATTATACATACATAAAGATTAATTTTAATTATACTTCTAATCAAGCATATATTACTACCATTATTGGTATAAATCCACAACTCTATACCTACTAAACGACAGTTAAGCTCAAAATTAGAGCAAGAATGTTTGTGTGTAGCAGTAATTAGTGCCATAAATTATTTGCGATCACATGTGAGGCTCAACACATTGACAAAGAAAATAGATGTTATCACACGCATCAACACGCCAACACAAGCCTAAATTCGCAGATAGGTTTTCGAAACGATTTTGAGATAAAAAGAAATAACCTTAACGTTGAGCACGAATGATCCGGAACGGATGTTGTCGCATGCATCCGAAGATCCGAAGAGTACCGGTGGAGTAAATTATAAACTTCGAATTTTCAAAGTTTCGCGATCCTGAACCATTCGGTGTGGAAAGATCCCTCCATATCGACCCTTTCGTAAGTATGGGCACCGAAATAATCTCGTTGAGATTGAACCAAGTTAGCTGGTAGCCTCTCCCTTCTGTAAGTGTCGAAATAAGCAAGACTCGATGACATGCCGGGAGTGCTTATATCGGAGTTGATAGCAAGACAAACAACTCTTCTCCAAGCAGATTGCCTGTCAATGATTTCCTTTGCGAATTCGGGATCGGCTAGAAGGTTTGCGAGGTTAGGGTTTCTATCGTATGCCTTCTTGATACGATCAAGAAAAATAGCTCGGATGATGCAGCCTCCCTTCCATATCCTAGCCAGTTCTCCCAACTTCAAGCCCCAACCCTTCTCCATGCTTTTTGCGCGGATGAGATTCATGCCCTGAGCATAACTGCAAATCTTGGATGCATAAAGAGCTTGTCTTACATCGTCGATTAGTTTTGCCTTATCCACGGTTTGGTCGGTCAAGATGTCACCGAACCCTCCAGATTTGAAGACTTTAGTGGCTTCAACTCTTTCCTCCTTTAATCCGCTCAGGAACCTTGAATTTAAAGATGCTGCAATCGTCGGAGCTGCAACAGATAACTCGGCAGCTTGCTGTACAGTCCATTTACCGGTACCCTTCATGCCAGTTTTGTCCAAAACTTTATCAACTAAATAACCCTCTCCTCTGTCATCCTCAATTCCGAATACATCAGCTGTTATTTCAATCAAGAAACTCAAAAGCTCCCCGTTGTTCCATTCTTAGAAAACGCTCCTTAGTTCTTCATTCGATAACTTTCCGACAGATTTCAGAACAACATAAGCCTCCGCAATCAGCTGCATATCACCGTACTCGATTCCATTATGAATCATCTTGACAAAATTACCCGATCCGCCTTTGCCAATGTAAGTCACACAGGGTCCACTATCAGGAACTTGAGCAGCAACCTTAAGAAGAATGCCTTCAATGTACTTATAATCTTCAAAGGAACTTCCAGGCATCAAAGAGGGACCGCGCCGCGCACCTTCTTCACCACCCAAAACTCCCATCCCAAGTTACAACAAACCCAGTCTGGACACTTCCTTCTCCCGTCTCTCGGTGTTCTCGTACCACTCGTTGCCACCATCGATGATACAATCACCTTTCTCCATGAAGGCAGAGAGGGTTTTAATGGTCTGGTCCACCGGGGCTCCTGCCTAAACGAGCATGATTATCACTCGAGGTTTCTGGATCGAGTGAACAAAAGATTCGGGATCATGGGAACCATACACGGGAAGATCCCCTTCCTGTTTAGCTCTTTCGACGGTCTCGTCGACTTTGGAGGTATTCTGTTGTAAACAGAAATGGGGAAGCCTTTCTCGGCAATGTTAAGCGCGTGATTTTGGCCCATAACAGCCAAACCAGCAAGTCCTATTCTTGTAGGGGGAGCCATAGTTCTTCCTGTTAAATGTTTTCATCATCATCATCAGTGAAATTCACAGGAAGAAAAAAAAAGGACAAAAACCCATTAAAATGAGAAAACAAATGATTAGGGATAATCAATGAGAAACAAAGAACTTGTTTATAAGAGCACTAAATTATATGTTCATTCAGATAAAACAAATTGAAAAAACCTATGTTCTTCACACTCATAAAACCGAGACTTCTTGGATTATACATAAAATAACACGATTGTAAACCACTTCAAATAGCAACTTAATAAATTTTGAATTCATTCAAATCCCAAGCACAAATTACAACTAACAATTACGAACCAAACATCCTACAAATTCAGATAAGAATTCTCAAAAGTAAGAGCCAGAAAGACAGTTTATTTAGCTTAATTAACAACGAAATACAACTTCGGAACTAATTGCATGCTGGAATTAAACTAAAGGATAAAAAGTTTCAAACTTCATTGAAATTCAACATGAGAAAGGAAGACCCAAACCTCAAAAAGTCACCTCTTTCCTCTGTTTTTCTGATAGAAAAGGGAAACCGAAGATGTGGGGATTTGAAGAAAAATTTGCACAAATGGATACCTAGAATTAGATCAAATATATATAGCAAAAAGGTAAGGGAAAAATTGTGCCACTCATCATAATATTTTAGTTGAATGGAGGTAGTCATGAGATGCTTTTGGCGTAATTTATTTAATTTAGAGATAACCAATAATCTCTGGAACAAGTTATTAATAGCGATGATCATAAAAAAAATACTTTAAAATTACATTTTTTTCAATATTATTTACTTGCATGGTTTATCTTAAAAATCTTATATTTTAGGAGCACAAAATCGATTTAAAAAAAATATCAGTTATTAAAAATATAATGAAGATATAATTAGTCAATGATAAAAAATATTATTTAAAAAAATGAAAATTTTCATTTTTCGGTGTCAATTCCAACATTTGATTCATAACATTTAAATCTATTAAAATCCATTAAATAATTTTAGTGGTAAAAAAATATTATTCTTCTTAAGAGATACGAGTTTAAGTAATTGTATTTATAAAATGTATACAAGTTAAGAATAGTCTAAGAGTTATAAACATATTATCTCCTTATAATCACTTCATACTATTCAAAAATAAACAAATACTTCATTTTGTTTAAATCATTATTTTATTTAAATCTACCATTAATTATAATTTATGCCACATCATATTGTTACATAATATGCGTCAATATTTACATGATGTCAAACAATTACTTAATAACTTTATTAACGTGATAAACATATACCAGTAGTTTGAGAATGAAATTGAAACATAAAAAAGTTAAGTAATCAATTTCGAATGAGTTATGTTTGGGGACGAAATAAGAATGTTAAAAAATTTACGGACCAAATTTAAAAAAAATGCAATTTCAGTATGTTTCACTCTACCAAACTAATGCAGCATACCGCATGAGCTTTTGGGAAGTGTTCATCTCAATCTGCTACTGATCAAAATAATTGTTTCCTTGTGTACATAAGCTTTACTCTGAAACGTAATCTAATGAACAATGAAATCCCAAAATGTTGCAAGCCAGTATGAGCAAGCACTTTAACGTACCTACACCCCGAAATTGCACATCTGCACAAACTCCATATCGTTGTCGACGTATTTAGTCCAAAGGTTCTTGTATTGGTTCATGGCTACGTCTAGCCAAGGTTTCATGTTTCCGTTATAATGAATGACTGCGGCATTACTGATCTCATCCATGCTAATGCTTGGATTGTATCCGAGCCCGAGCACGTGCCAAGATTTGTCTAATGGCTTAGTCAATGAGTAGAATGTGATCAGGCCGGGCGGAAGAGTATCTAATTGCCATAGTGTTCGGTCCCCGTTCTGGTGAAAAGGGCAACTGAAAGTTAATCACATGTCCATTTTCAGACTATAAAGTTCAAACCACGATTCTTATCATCGGTATTACCGAGATGTTTACTCGACATTTGAAGTTAGAGACTGGTTTTATTCCTAGAAGTTCCTATTCTGATCATCATTTATATGGTTTCCAATTTTCTATCCAAAAACCAACCTAATACTAAAAGAACTAATCACAAGTTTTGATTTCCCCCCATTAAAGAGAAAGAAAAGATCACTAGGAAACCAAACATCCTTAATATCAAACATGACTAAGTTAAAAGTAAAGCACACACTTACCAAGTTTTGCCAGTCGTGGTAGGTTTCCGTGCATTTTTCACGCTTCCAAGCATCAAGATCGAAAATATTCATCCCAAAAGCCCAAGCACAAGCCTTCGGATTAAACCTTTCCTTAATTAGAGGATGTGAGAAGTTTAAATATTGAGAGAACCGATGGAACGAGCCAAAGCAGGTCTCAACAGCCCCATTTACCTTTCCGGCCAGATCTATCTTCCACAACCCTGTCAAGTCCTTCTGAACCACAACATCATCATCCAATAACAAAATCTTATGCAATTTCGGGTACATTTCGGGCAGATAGAACTTAAGGTGATTCAACATTGATGTAGACACGGGGTTCTTTAACTTCATGTTACTCCCATCTTTTGTTGAATTCTCCATTGTTTTCTCAGGTCTAAACTTCTGCATCTTAGCAGACTCAATCTGCCTTAACAGTGGCACATGGGAAGAATTCAAGAAACTATAATCTTCCACTGCCTTCACCTCTAAATGAGCACCCCCTTCCACGGGTCTCATTCTAAACCAAACTTTCATCCCAGCCACATTCATTCTATCGGTCACCACGTGGAACACGTGTTTCCAAGGCTCCTCCGCATTCTTCACCACTGACCTCACCACCACAGAAACTGCAATCACATTATCTGAAAATACAGCATAATGATACAAACTAGGATCCTCAAACTCAGGCTTAGGCAACTCTTCCCTGTACTTTTCCGGGTGAGCGACTCTCTCCTCCACGAGCCTCATTGCCAAGCAATGCAAACTCTTAGGAATCGACTTAGCAGCAATAGAGCTCGCCAGAGCTCCATTCTTTTTAGCCTTGCCGAGCAATTCACTTACGGAGAAAATGGTATCTTTCAACTTCTGAATTTTCAATTGATTGTCATAATTCTCTTTAGACTCAGCTACCAATGACCTAGCAAATTTCACTCTATCTTTCACCTCTTTCTCAAACTGCCTCAAAACATCCTCATCTAAGTTCCCATCAGTTTCAAACAAAGAGGGTTTATAACTCGGTTTCGAATTCAGATCTGCAAAGTTCTTAGCTAAATCATCAAATATTTTCAATTCCCTTGAATTTTCAAGCTTTAGCCTCATTGCATAAGCTGCATACGCTTTCACTAATGTGATGTGGTCATTGGCTTGCTTGTATATCAAATCTAACCTTGTTTTGAGAGGATCTGAATTCAATGCCAGAAACGTTCTATGCATGTAAACATTTGCGCCACTAGGAAGACTCTGCTAAAATACAAACAGAAAAAAAAAACGGTTAGATAATCTAAAAACGCGTTTAAAACCCCATCAAGATTCAATTTTTGAAGTATCGAAAGCTCAGCTGAAAAAAACTAAATGGTATTCAAGAAAAACCAAACCCCAAGCCAGAAAACTGATGAGAGCACCTGAAAAGGCCAAAAAGATACAAGAATTCTAAGAAATGAAAAGTGAAATTACAGAGTGGTGATGCATTGTAGGAGGACGAGAAGTGATGAGAACGGAGACGGTGGCAATGAAGAGAAGAGAAAACATGGCTGAGATGAAGATTCTGTAAGAAAAGAAACCGCGGAAACCAGCTCCAACCCCGCCAGATCCGCCGCCTCGACTTCCCCTGACGGCAATAGCCATTGAATTCAGCTAAAGTCCGCTTCTCAGTCCCCCTGAACTGATCGGTGAAACCGGAATGTGTTTAAACTTCAAAAGTGAATAGATTACGAAAAACAGAAACAGTGAGATCTGAGATTTGATAACGAAAAATGTTTTAAGATCTGATTCCCGTGTCGGTGTTACTAAAATTTTCAACTTCGAATCTCTTATGGGTGGAAACCTAAGCTTTGATTCAACTTTTTTTACTAGTCCTTTTCAATGGATTTATCAACTCATGTTTTTAACTTCTTCTACGTCTAATTATATTATTATATCATAAATAATATATTTTAATTATTTAACTATTAAAGTATTTTTCGGAATTAAATAATTTCAGTAATTGAAATGATAATTATTATCCTAAAAATCTTGAGTTTAAACATTAACTACCGATATTAAGAATTTATTATCAAGTTATTAAGATTTGTTTTAGAACAAATAGCATCACTTACACTCAACTTAGTTTAATAAAAAAAATTATTAAAATTTTAATAAAAGATTTGTTTTAAAACGTGGAGGAGGTGTTGCCGAAGGGTGCTTAAATCGGACGATTGAGGTCGGTAAGATCGTCGGGTGGACACCACAAGTGGCCATCTTAAGTCACCCCGCAATATGAGGACTTGTGTCGCACTGTGGCTGGAATTCTATATTAGAGAGTATATGGTTTGGCGTGCCTATGGCAACATGGCCGCTTTACGCGGAGCAGCAGTTGAATGCATTGACGTTGGTGAAAGAGTTGGAATTAGCGGTGGAGATTAAGATGGACTAGAAGAACGATGACGATGAGGTTAGAATTGTGAACGCAGAGACGATAGAAAAAAGAATCAGATTGTTGGTGGAGAATGATAGCGACATTCGACATAGAATGAAGGAAGTGAGAGATAGAAGGCCTTAATGATAGGTGGATCTTCACATGCCATGTTACATCGTTTTATCGATAATGTGGTTAATAATATGCCATGAAATTAATTATTATAGTTTTTTTTAGTCGAATATGTCCATAATTAATATTTGATATAGCTGGTTTAGTATAATTATGCTTTAAATTAAAATTTGATACATTCCTTTTGCATTCTTTTAGAAATAAATTTGTATAGCCACGACCACTGGATTTGCATTTAGGGCATCATGTATCAAAATCTAAATCCAAAATGCATTAAAGAACCAACAGCTAGTACCCGTTTATGAACTAAAAAGATAAAAACCAATACCAAAACCAAAGATAAGACAATGCTGAACCACCCAGTGAAGTAAACACATCTAAATATAGCGTAAGTTCTACGTGTGATTTTAACATTGTACATATAAAATAATATGAAACTTGCATGCCCTATACGTGAGATGGAAAGAAGTACAATCCCTTGCATCTTACCAACGTACATGATAAGAACAGGGAAGATCCGGGCCCAAAATTTTCGCCGACAGAAACACGGATCCGAAACCCAGGGAGACGAGTATTGTTGCCCGACACACAGCACGGATAAACGAAGTAGAAAAGACAGCTTTCTGCTCCAAGCCTGGCTCCATTTTGGCTATAACATCAACATATTATAAATTCCAAAACTACTAGAACGTTATGGCACGCCCATAATTAGTTAACTGGAACAGGCAACCAAGCAGAAGCAAATTCATTTCTTTCCTTCCTCATTTTCCTCATCTTTCTCATTGTAATATCCGTTGTCGTCATCATAGTATTCATCGTCGTCGTCGTCGTCATCGTCATAATAATAATCATCATCATAATAATAATAATCATCTTCATCACCCTTGCCATTTTGCAGCAGTTGCCCCCTTAACCGCTCTTGGATTCGATCTCTTATAGCAGTGCCCTGAAAAACACCCAGAGTTCAATGTGAGGCAACATAACCACAGTCCTAAAAGCTGAAACTATTGTTTGTTCTATAGGCGCATGCACAAGTCATTACTATATGTTGGTGATTAAATTTGCTCACCATTTTGTGGCAACCTTCTTCAAACATCTCAAGAAATCCGGCAACCCATCGGTCAGCATTTTCCACCCACTCATTACGATGCATAGCAACAATTTGTATCTGAAAGTATCGCCATGCATTAAATTTTTGATTAGGTGAGGAAACTAGCATTCAAAATTCAGCCAAACAGTATGGCCACTTACATGTGACGAAACCTAAAATATGAAATGGTGCACACATACACAAAGTAAAAAAACATAAAATACGAAACCTGAACTATGAATCTGACTGAATGGAATTCCAACTATTCTGAGACAATTTCAATACAATTTGTTACTAGAACAGCTAATCTCACCATATCCACAAAATTAATAATCCTTTGTGGGCATGAATCCAGGGGATGGAGGGATTTGGAGTTTGAAGCTTAACTACATATTCCAAGTTCAGATGTATGTCATATATTTTTGGTAATCTTGAAAGTCCATAGGCTTGAAAAGACGGTAACCTTCTCCACCATAAAATCATGGTAAAATACAAGGATTTAAATTCAGACTAATCTGATCAAGCAATGGAAGTGAAGAAACTAGAACCGAACTAAAGAATATAACCCTCTATATGCCATGTTGTGAAGGCACTTGATCTTGTATGCTGATTTTATAGCTGTAATCTCCAACCAGACAGTCTAGTCATCTAAACTTGACTTCTGTAGCCAGCATCATGGTGCAACATACATTTTTTTGGGTGTTTGTTACTATGTGTGCATATGTATTAAATCATTCATCGATTTTTTTGGGAGGTACCACGGTGTGGTGGTAAAGAGGGGAAAGGAGATGCGCTACAGGTATATAATGTACGGATGTTCACTGAAGGGTCATAATGCTCTTCAAATTACATAAACATTGTAAGGAACCTGCACAGTTTTTCATTTAATGAAACTATAAAAGGCTAGATAAAAGCTTGAATAAAGTCAATATTAAATTACATAACCAGGGAGGCACTTCAATCTACATACTGAAGTTACAAGGAGCAAAATGCATCCGAGGACCACTTTTAACGTACAGCTAAAAAATAAGCTGAATAAAAGACACAAGGAAACCCTTCAAGCTAACCATTCTCTATTCTTCAATAATATTGAGAAGAAAAAAACACTGATTCTCAATTTGAGTACAAAAAGTATCCTGGGTATAGTTCCTCCAAAAGTTTTACTTAAATAAATTCATGAAGTTTAGACTTTTATCAACCACATAACATACATCCACATAAACAAAATTTGCATGACAATAACAATGAAAAGTTGACAACACTATAACCAAAGCTAATTTCTCTACCCTCTGGTTATTTCTGTAAGAAATGTTTATAACTTCAAGTTAGTAAGTTACCATATTGTTTATGCACAAGCATGAAAAATCTCAGGCAGATTTAAACAGAATACGTGATAAAAATAGAGACAAAAAGACTTCAAGTACATTCATCACTCTCCGTCCCTCCTAATAGTTAAAATTTGAGCAATCTTACCTTCCAATAACATACCAGATTCCAATCATACAGCCAAAAAAGTGAACAATCGTTAAACTAGATCAATAGCACATGAGAGTGAACATACCTTTTCTCCCACTTTTTCTTGTTGTTCCTTAACCTTCTCTTGTAGTTTCTTCAGTCTCATATTCACTCTCAATCTCTTTTCCTGTTGACATTAATTGGCATATCAACAACAGAGCAGTAACTACTAAAACAAGACACTCGGAACAGAGATCTTACCTTCACATAGCTAACTCCAAGATCTTTCCTCGAGTATCCACGGTCCAAGTTCCGAAGCACGTACTGGTTATAATCTTTAACAATTCTCATAATGATATCTGATGTGGAAATCCCGTCAGTTCGTTGGGTCTCCTTGAACTTGCCAGCAGCTTTAACCTGAAAACAGGAGGCTGCTTAATATGATGCAAAAATTTAAAGCACCAAATGTAACAACTGCACAGAAGATCCTCTCAATAAACTTACAAACTCATACACATCGTTCGCAGCTCCACTGGCATCAGCATAGCTGTAAACAATTTATATGTTTATTTTCTTAACATTACAGCATTCAACACGAATAAATTAATCTTAAAACAAGACTTGTATATTCTTACGGAAGTGAATCATGAGCCACATAGTCAATGTTGTGTTTATCTAGAAATTCTTGATCAATCACCCACGGGGCATCAGGAATGACTTCATCAACCCACCTGTAACAAAATGAACAATGAAGTCCTTGAATGAAGCTCTTGATAGGAATATAGTTAAATCACATTTTTTATAAACAAAAAATGAAAAATCTAATCATAAAAGATGACAACAGATTTACTTTAGTTCTTCAAAGAATTAAAAAAGTTAAGTAAATAAATAATTAAGGATACATTTGATGGTAGCCTTTGCTACTTGAAGTTTACTTCCTAAAAGGCAATAATCAATTAAAAGAGAACAAATGACACAATATCATTTCTAACATAATTATTCTGTAGAAAAGTAAAATTTTGCCTTATCCAAAACTGTACAGTTTTGGTTCTTCAAATTTACTATTGTCTTTTGCATCCAAATGCATGTTTTGCTTTGAACTCTGAAAAGCAAAACTCAAGCAGCGAAAGCAACAGGCGAGGTCTACCCCAAATGAAGCATCCTGAGTGATTTTCTTTTCATATACTCCATATTTTCAGCAAAATAACTAGAAATGGCTTAGAGATGAAAGTTATAGAAAGGAATATACTTGCAATGGCGAAGGGATTCATAACGTTCTACATCGGTCATAACTGTTTTGCCCTTGTACTTGTGGGTTGTCTCATCATTGCAACATCCAACCAGCAAATACGTATTGGGAAACCTAAAATTTCAACAACAAAAAAAAGATAATCAGGAAAAAAAATCATGCAGTAGACGCATAAGCAAATTCAAGTAACAATATTTCTTCTATAAATCAGAAGTACATCACAAATAAACAAAATTCATAAACATGAGATGATTTAAGAAAAGTTACACATATAAGAGATAAAAAAAAAGCCCCAAATAAGATGATTTTGAAAGAAACACATGAATCACCGTGAATTTGTAAATATATCCAGAAAAAGGAAAACATTCATATCAAATCCTACCAAAAAAAAAAGAGAGAGAGAGGAGGGAGGAAAACGGACGATTTCTTGGCTTGCTCGAGGGAACGAGCGTGGCCGAAGTGGAAGAGATCGTAGATCCCATCGGCGTAAACACGGAGGGGGCGATCCGGATCGGGGTTGGTGCTATTGTTACCGTTGTTCGCAGTAGAGGATTCGTTGTTCATGGCGGAGATTCTATAATTAAGAAGGAAGAAAAATGGAAATCGACTGTTTCGTTATGTCATATGTGTTCCGCCTTATAACAATAATAATAATTTTAGTAATTTATTATTTTTATTTTTATTACCGCTTTCCTTCTGAAGCCGAAACAAGGGGGGCCCTTCCTACCTACAGCCTGGCTGAGGTATACGCGCATCGCACGCTGCTATTTGTTTTGTTTTTATAATCGCATTTTTTTTATTTGTGAATTAAGTAATAAATTTAAAATTATAAATATTTGAATCCAAATCTCATTTAACTAAATTAATTCGTAATTAATTTTAATTAATACTTTATTATATCCATATTATATATATTGAAAAGACATAATCTAAGTTTATGTACGCACGTATTATATTATAAGGTAAAATACACAAATGGTCATATGATTATAGGGTATTATTTTATTAAATCTTTTAATAATTAAAAGTTATAAAATATTCCTCCACTATAGAATATTATTTTATTAAGTCTCTTGAGTATTAAAAGTTATAAATTGGTCACCTTAATTTATTGTGTTTCAAACTCGTCCTTTTTTGTTAAAAAATTGACGACTGTCTAACCTAGATGTTAACATAATGACTGAGAGATGATAGTCGTTTGAGATTCTGAGATTAGATTTTATCATATAACAATTAACATATTAATGTTTAACTTAGAATACTGTCAAATTTTTAATAGAAAATGATAGGTTTGAGATATAATGAATAATCGAGTGACAATTTTGTAACTTTTAATAGTCGAGAAACTCAACAAATCAACACTCGATAGTTAAAAGATTATCTTGCAACTTTTAATAGTCGATACACTTAATAAAACAATATCTTAGAGTCGAAAGACCATTTATGTACTCAATACTTTACCCTATATATTATATATATATTCATACACACCAATACACTATGTTGTTTGAACCTGGATCATCGGAGAAGAAAATTTTCCAAGGGCTCTGCATAATTTTAATAAAATTAGAATTTCTTATACTATTAATTTATCCATTATTATAATTATATTGTATAATTTATATATATTAATATATAATAATTTTAACTTGTCTATATTTTAATAGAATTTGTCCAAATAAATTGGTCCAATTAAAGAGATGTGGGATGTAGTCATAGTTACATTGCACTCTTAAGATAAAAATTTAAATTTAAATAACTCCGAAAACAGTTTAGGTTTGAATTTGAGAGAGACAACTAGGAAGAATGCTTTATAAAGAAATTAGGTTCCAAATGAAATAACAGCTTTAATTGCATTGACAAGATGCAGGCACCACGAGAACTATAGTGCATGGTTTAATGAGAATGAATGCTTGATGAAATCAATGGAATAGCCAAAGCTTTAACAATGGACAAATACAGGTATATTCTACCCCGTATTCTTGTTTCGTACAACCAAACTTATTGGATCAAAATCTAAGAACAGCAAATATAAACTGAGAAACTCGCACTAAGTTACAATACGAAGACTTGAGAGGCGATCAACAATTTCTTGTGTAGTGCAATCTCCACTGAGATCTTTAGTCCGACACTTACCCTCCAATATCACATTTTTCACGGCGTTCTCGAGTCGATCGACGAATGAAGGAAATTGGAGGTGCCTCAACATCATAGCGGAGGAGAGAAGCAAAGCCACCGGATTTGCGGTCTTCTGCTCCACCATATTTTCTTTTCCCATATTTCCTGCTGAAGCACCTTGCTCGAAAACGGCATGTTCAGCTCCCACATTGCATATAACAAGCAAAAAATTTGATAAGAACTTAGTTGTTAAAAGTGAACTAGAATACAGTAGTCAATGATCGGTACCTCCGGGCATGACACCGGTACCTCCGGCAATGCCGGCCGCTGTATTTGCAACAAGATTTCCATAAAGATTAGGGGTTACCTAAAGAAACAGAAGAAGAGACAGTAATGAGAAAGCATTTTTCAGTACTAATACAAAGTGTTTTTGGCCTACCATGACATCAAATTGTTCAGGTTTTGAAACAAGTTGCAAGCAACAATTGTCGACGATGATTTCATTATACTCAATGGTCGGATATTTGGTCGCAACTCGACGGCAGGACTCCAGAAACAACCCATCGGCGAGTTTCATGATGTTGGCCTTATGAACCGATTCCGTTACCTGTTCCACCGCGTTTGTGACCAATGGACCGATTCCGTCGCCTGGGATTAGGGTTATGGGTCGTGGGGCTCCGTCTCCAGGCCGGGGCATGTAGTGACGGCTCGAGTTTGAATTTTATGGAATATCGGGGTTTTCAAGAAAGAAACGGATCTACGTGACGGCGACATTATCAAATGAAGAATTATTGGGATCAAAATTAGGATTTTGAAAGGTTGAGAGAAATATAGAGTTACAGAACAAAGGCCATGCGAGAGAAGCGGAAGGTTAGAGAAGAGAAAGCGATAATATTGGAAAAAAATCAGAAAAATGATAAAAAGAATAAATTCCAAATTCCATCACTCAACTTTCTATTCATCCCTAGTTTAGTCACTAAAATTAAAAAAAAGAATAATTTACTCATTAAACTTTCGATTTAATGGTATCGTAAACGTTCAAAATTTTGACGACAGTGTCACTTTTCTTCTGTAGGTGACAAGATACCATTCCCAAAATCTAGGCCTGAAATTTCTTGAATACTGCATCCATATAGACCATGGACATTTGCTTCTCAAAGCTGAGACAGATCTCAATAAAGGTTGCTTATTTTGTGTTTCAAAACCAGCTCTGGCTTCTATTCCATACAACTCCAGTGAGAATGAATTAAGCTGCACTATGAAGTCAGTGAATGTAGCTGCTTTATGCATGGACTTGTCCAAGAGAGATGCAACACTTCCAGATCGCTCAGTTATTAACTAGAGATTTATTTCATTATCACAGTTAAACTAGGGTTTTACGAACTAATTGATATTTTAATCTTTTAATGCTGTAGAAAAACGTATGCTGAAATTATACCAAAAAGCATTCGTTTATTTATTTTTGTTTGTACGTCTCAGTTGAGTTGGAATAAAGGAAAGAAATTATTGAAAAGTGATAATCAACCAATTGAACAGAAGATCAATTTATGCAAAGATTCAATCGTATAAAACGAGCCAATAACATAACGATTCAAGCTATAATCGAGAACAAAGAAAAGGAAGGGGAAAGGTCAGAATTTCAAAACATCTACAGCCGGATTTTAAACCAAAACTTACTCAATTTGATTGATTTGGGCAAACAAGAACTAATAGTTACAAAGGATGTGGCAATGGGGCAAATGGTTCGGCATATTTGGCACAGCTGAATTGGCAGCTCGAGCGCACGATATATCAGAACTGCCAAAAAGGGAAAATCAGATTATCTCCATTTCCCTGATACTATGATCACCATTGATTCTCCCCTCCAGAAAGATCATCGACGACGACAACGATCGATGAAAATGATCAAAAGCAGGATTAAACAAAATCATAGGTTACATCCTGAAAACTAGAAAATTATGCACACAATTTTGAACATTTCACTTACCTGTACAGACCTTCCTCCTCTAAGCAGTCATTGTTAAACCATACTAAGGATCTATTGCACTTTTACTGGCAAAGCCCTCACAATCAGTTCACTGCTGTTATAGGAAAATAACGATTCTATTCTATGTCCTATACTAGCATTGCAACTAATAGTTACACTAACTAATGCACCGATGCGGAGCCTGGTTTCAATAAAGCCCAACCACTACCTAAAGCTTCCAAATTTAAACATAAGCACTACATGTTGCACGCTTAGGTTGCTGTCACTGGGAAAACCAGTTCTATCTTGGGCAATCCTGTGTGAAAAATGCAGCAAAAAGTAACAAAATTCATAACACAAATACATGTTGCAGACTTTGGTTGCTGATACCGGGAAAAAGCATTTTATGAGTAAACCGTATATGAAGAAAGCAGGTAATAGTGTAATACTTCAATATACCACCTGCTGATGTGGATTCCAAATTCAATAAACTCAACACCGCTTCCTCAAACTTCTAAAATTCAAACACAAGCACAACAATGTTGCAGACTTTGAAACCAAGAATGTAATACTTCGTATAATAGTTCAATTAAAAGCTTGATATCTCGATCAATGCAGATAAATAAATAACATTAATAACCAAGAACAAAAACATTCAAGCAGATTCAATATGCAATCGGAACAGCCAAAGGGGCTGAAAATGAAGATTACCCATTTCTCGGGTTAGCTAAACATTGCCATCTTAGATTCAAAATCCAAAAATAAATCAACTGCAATGCTAACATTATAAAAAGATCGAACATTAATAGATTCAATTCTCAGCTTCCATGGGCATACATATCAAAGGTAAAGCAAAATGATAAATCATTAGAGACCCAGAATAGTTCAAAAGCTTAAATTTCTTATAGAAACAAGCAAATCACGTAACATAATATAACAATAATAAGAACCCATAAATATCTTAAGGAAACATATTCAAATCCGTGCTTAAATTAAAAAATGTCCCAAAAAAAAGCTACATAAACATCAGCCATCTTGTTCCAATAAAACACCTAGAACCTGAGCTTAGTAAAGAACCACCTGTTTTTTCCAGTCTTGAACCTCTCTTCAAACCTCTCCTTAGTTGCCTTGCAAGCTGCCACTTTCTTGTCCTTCGTCTGGAGAGCATCGACGGTAACCATGTCTTTCAAGTCCACGTCGAGGGTGTAGCGCGTCGGCATCAGGTGCTGATAATTGACGAGCTTGACGAAGCACTTGACGCGTGACTTCTTGGCTGTTTTCTTCCCGGAGTCCTTGCGGATAACCTTGCTTGGGTACTTCTTTATCCCTGCAACCAAGCAGTGGCCATAAGGGCGGTCACGTGTGCCTTCGTCGAAAGATCTAACGATGACGGCTTTGCGACCGGCGTATCGCCCTTGGAGAACGATAATGGCCTTGTTTGGTTTCAGAAATTTCACCATGGTGACGGCAGCGCGGCGGCTCTGATTCTCTTCTCCCAAAAGCCCTACGTAAGTAATTGAAAATGAAAATGAAGTAATATATGCCGTGAAACCCTAGCACTTTGGAATTCTTGGTGGGCTTGGGCAAAACATAAAGGACTTCCTACTTACATTTTTAAAATATTCAAATAATGATTTGATGTTTTAAAATTTCTTAACCTTTTAAAATGATTATAAAATTAATTTTATAAATGTATAAATTTTTTAATATTTCTCATATAATAATTAAATATCCTTTAATATGCTTAAATAAGGATCTTATTGGAAATTATTTTTAAAAGATTAAACTTTTATCCAATTCTTTTTTAAAGTTAAATACTTATTTCAACAAAAAAATATTAATTATTTATTCAATAATTTTATATGATTATTTTTTCAAAATAAACTATAATTTTTTTAATATTTTTTTCAATTTATCAAAAAAAAAAACTTTTTTCTTCAAGTAAACTCGGCTAGACTTAGAAACATAATTTTGGTGGGCTTAAATTGTTAACGAATAGACGGTTAGTTAATACTAAAGAGTGTTTTTTTACCAATAGGGCACACGCTTTAATTATTTGGCCCAATAGGACACTTCAAATTAATTTAGGATCTACAACATTTTCTACAGTTTAGGATAAAATTATCACCTCAACGTGATGAGTTTCATAAGATATAATTTTTATATTTTGGGCTCAATATTTTAATATTTCTTGTGAAACTTGTCACCTCGACGAATTCTATTAATTTTTTTTACAGATTATTATGTGAATTTAATGTTGGAAAGAAAAAGTTCACCCGAACTAGTCACATCGAGATGACGAGTTCTGTTAGTTTTTTTCTCTCTCTAAAACGTGGTATATTATGCCGAAAATAACAATAAACTATAAACATTAGATTTTTTAAAAAAATGCACATTAGGAAGAAAAACACTACAAACTTAATACATAAACATAATAACATAAATGAGACTAACCTTACGAACGTCATAAACATTAAATAAAATCATTAACATAGTAATATTGATTAAGAAATTTTAATCTTCGTAATCAGTAGACTTGTCAGATGTAAGATTAAGTTCTTCAATTTCTCATTCTTTTTGTTATTGTTCACGTACGAATTGGAATCATGCTTCTGGGTCTCCATCATTTATGTTTTTTTCTTGGTCATTTATCTAAATTGGTGGGATATTCGAGCTGGAAGCAACATCCCCAATGGTACGAGTAAGGTCAATATTATCGAACTCTACAAACAAATTGGCATTAAAGAAAAAGTGATAGCAATATGTATCAACCATTCCAGTAAAGTCTACATCACCGCTTAGATGAAATCTCGTGCACGATAATAGAAATCTATAATATAAGGAAGATATTCTTCTACATCTTTCGAGTAGAACTCTTATTTCTATGTTGAGCTTCAACTCATGTAGTTAAATATTTGTTGGGAACTACATGGTTATAGATTTGTAATCGTAAAAAATAATTGCACAAATATATTAATTCTTTAAAGTTTTATATTCATAATATGTCCGTAAAATATGTGCATAAGATCAATTATTTAAAAAAATATGAATAAATATAAATTAATAATTATTTCATATTAATTTAAAAATTATAAATCATAAAATATAGAAAATAAGTTAATTTTAATCAATAATACGGTAAAATGTACATATCGCGTTTCAATAGAAACGAAAACAAAAGAAGCCTCCATCAATGTCGAACCAAAAACTAAAATTCACTGAGCAGCCGGATTTTGAACAGTAATAATTAAATATTGAATTATCTTAAATAATTTAATTTTAATAAAATATTAAATATTTTAACAATAAAAGAACCATTAAAGAGGGCCGTGTCTAGGTTGTCGGAGGTCCTGTACAAATTCTTATAAAGAGACTCCTATTTTTTAGATATATTCGATTTCAGACCCCTATTTTTATGCTTCTTAATAGCAACAAATGATACATATACTCGATTTCGGGGCCTCTATTTTTATGCTTCTTAATGACAACAACTGATAGATATACTAGATTTTGAGGTCTCTATTTTTATACTTATTAATGGAAACAACTGATAGATATATTCAATTTTGAGATCCTTATTTTTTGGGTTCCTACGCGATCGCCCACCCTACACACACTCAGCCACGCCCCTGCCATCAAATTAAGTTTAAGTTTGTGCTTTGTAAAAACCCTACTCTTTGATAACAGATAAAGCAATTCTAAGCATGTGTTTAAGGAATGACATGCAATTTTATTTTTGAAAAAGTAATTTTTTTAAATTTTAAAAGAAAATAATAATATACTTTTTTTATTGAAAAATGACTTTTTATCTATTCTTTGGCTCCATATGTGCATGTGTCCGGAAAATCTAATTTAAAATTAATGAAAGTTACAATTAAAAATATTAAAAAAATAATAATATTTTCTGTAACTTAAAATATCAATTTTTCTTTTATATTTTTCAATTATATATCTTCTTCATAACATTTTCGGTTATATATCTTCTTCATAACAAATCTTATCCATTCATGACAAAATCTTCATAAATGCAAATTTCTGCCCCTTTCTTATTCTTTTTTGTTTTTTCTTTTCTTAAGTCTGAACTACATATCGACTTATTGTAACAATAACAGTAAAAAGTTCAGACATTTTTTGTACAACTATCTTGACCATTTCGTTTTTTCTTTTTTTGTATTAGATTCCCCGTTTATTTAAACGAGCACACTTGAACTTTTCAGCTTCAGCTTAGAAGATCAAACAAACTACCGAATCATACGTCAAAAATTCTCCAAGTTCTTCGGTTTTTTTATTATCAACCTTTTCCTATCAGTACAATAGATGGCTTAATTCTGCAATCTCATGTTTTATTGGCTGAATGTTGTAATTGGGACAGTATGAGTGAAGGCCATGGTAATGCAAGTGCAAGCTCCAGCTCAAGCTTGAATAGCAGTTTCCAAGATACAGAAGATGATCAGGCCATGGCAACCTTCTTAGCAGAAGAGGAGAATTTACACAACAATGGAAAGCTTGGAAAAAGGCTTTCTCATCTGGATTCCATTCCGGTATAATCGTTTCTACCACTTTTATGTTGGTCGGTCACTTTGTTTAAGTATTTGCATTGTTTAAAAATCATACCACACGGAATAGCGGTTATAGTTTTTGTCCAAAAATTCGTTCTTTTATCTTCTCTTTCATTGCATGAGGGCTATGTTCTGCTGAGTGACATGCTATAATTTGGAAGCTTTAGGAATTGCTACTACGATACGTGCCAGTGGTTGTTGAAAACTGAATATATTGCCAGAAGCATGGTGCTTCCGGAGGAAAATCATTGTGCTACATGTGTTATTTTCATCACTTCTGAGACCCTAGCATTTTTTCTTTCTTTAATTGTTATCAATTCAATAACTTTAATCTAAATTTTCTTTTCCCATTATAGCATGTTTCCCTGGTTCATGAGTTTGTATGCATTTTTTTTGCATAATTTTTGACTGAAGCGGAGGTTTTTATGGCATGATATAGATTCATAAGCACATGTTATTCATTCTTTTTTTGGTACCAGTGCTGCATCACTCTTATGGGATGATCATTTGTTTAACTTTTCATATTAAAATTACATTTGTAAAAGAGCACACTTCACATTTGTTGTCATTTTGGGAGTATTACTAGGAAGTGTGTTATTGTCCTTTTGTCTTTTAACATCTTTTACCATAGATATAGGAGTCTACCAAAGAGTACGACTGTATGAGTCCTGGTTTTCGCCGTTTTGTTTCTCTCATTAGGAAATTGTGAATTCAGTTTAACAAGGTTTTCAAAAACAATAACGCCTCCTTTTGCTCCTAACTTCAATGGTTATTTCAATGTCTGCTCTCACCTGCATTTCATTCTATTTGGCTGATGATTTTTGACATGATCATTTTGTTCACGGCACACTCCTCGTGTCAATGGGGAAATACCTGATGTGAATGATGCGACCTTAGATCATGAACGACTTTCTGAAAGTTGTGATCTTGTCATACTGACTATATCAGTTTCTCATTGATTGTTTCATCTTAGGTTGTTCACTACTTGTAGTCTGCTCCTATTTAAGCTTTTACAAAACAAAAGTGGTTTGAACTTGGACTTCGTTTCGTCTTTAATTCTGTGGTTTCTATGATGTTTAATTTGTCTGTTTCTTTTTGAAAAACTTGGTGGTCTTTTTCCATTTTGCCAAAAGGTCGCTTGAGTTCTGTTTTTCGTTGGCTTCATGTTCAAAAAGTCATTTTGGACTCGCGGTGTTAATAGTTTTGTGCATTATATGACTCCTGAAAGTCTAAAACGATACCATTCTTACTGGGTCAGTATTCATTGCTCAAGCATGAGTTGTTGCTCGGACTCGGCTTTTTTGGTGGAGTACCCATGTTGTCATGAATTGGAACAGATGTGGGTAGAGTTCTCTGGACTTGTCAAGCTAGGGTGATGAAAAAATGAGATGGAAGAAAGAGATTGAAACCAACATGAGTAGGAAGATTGGAGAAACATCCACATGCAAATAAGAAAAATGAGAGAAAATAATTAAATTTTTGGGGTTTGGAAATTGCATTCAGAAGTAATAATTTCTCAATCCAATCATATGGCTACCGTTCATCTTATTTCCTCACCAATTTCTGCGTTGTTTTCTTTTGTGAATTTGCTTCATTTTGCTTGGGATTTTGTTAGTCAAGACACCCGTCTCTCGTACCCAAGTCCTGGCAACATAGCAAATATGACATTAAAAGAGGACTTGCATCCTAACATGATGGTTGAATATTTTGCAGTTGATAACCTCCCTTTCATACTCTCCTTTTCAGATATACGTTTAAATTGGTTTGCGTTTATTTTATGATGAGTTTCCCCCCTTTGTTCAGGCTGGCTACTTATGGTTTAGCTGAACTGCAAATCGAGGGCGATGGAAATTGCCAGGTCTTTCTTTTTGTTCTATGATTAGTCTTTTCTCTACCATCACCTTTTTTATCCACAATTATCATATGTATATTACACCTATCTATATTTCCATATACAGTCGTACAGATGCACAAACACGAAACAATGAGATTTTAACATCGAAGTCACTTATTCTTTGCACTATTACTGTTTTCTTTGTCTACATCTGCTGTTTTTGTTGATAAATCTTCCATGACGGTATGTTTTTTTATAGTTCCGAGCACTAGCAGATCAGCTGTTCCGCAATCGAGACTACCACAAACATATTAGAAGGCAGATTGTCAAGCAGGTAAGGTTTATGCTGCTCCACAAATGCAAACATTTCTCAGTTTCAGATATTATCCCATTGGATAAATATTAGCTATTGTGACAAAGACGCTTTCCCTTTTGCAAATACTCCGACTTGTTATTTCTCCTCGATAAATAGGTTATTTTCATGTCTTTCATTTCCATCAAGTGGTAAATGGACATCGGTTAAAAATTAGTTGCAGACCTCCAAGGTTATAGTGTTTAATCCGCCTTTTGCCTGAGATGAATATGATAATCCATGCTAATGGAGTTCAATGAAAAAGGCCTTCCTTTTATGTATATGTTCTATAATCTTACTAAGCAATGCTTTGAAATTCTTGCGCGTGATTATCTAACGTTTATAATGTTATGCTTATGCAGAAATGGTTAATTGTTAAACCTTAAAGGAGCCCCCTTTGCAATAACAAGCTTATTGTGTTATTCTATCTATTAGCTTAGCTATTTCATCGGCTTTCTGGTTTTGATGTCTGACCTCTTTTCTACCAACTGCAGTTTGGAGCCAAAATTTGTCGAGTCACCTCTTTTCGTGACACTTGCTACATCGAGATCATGGCCAAACAAGCAAGTCCTACTAGAGGTAGATGGTATTTCTTCGTCTTGCCTGATTTTTCATGCAGTGATCCGAATCAAGTATCCATAGAAGGCAATTTGATCCCCCTTTCGTTTACCAACTGATGCTTAAACCAAGTTGCTTATTATGGTGTATTACTGAAGTTTGGCTGAGCTTCTGGAGTGAAGTGCATTACAATTCATTGTATGCAAGTGGAGGTGAGACCCATTTTCGATTCATTTTCTTTTAATGCATTATCTTTCACCCAGTTCTTGCTGTTTCATCAGTCAGATTAATGAAGTCCATATATATATATATATATATATATATATATATATATATATATATATATATATATATATATATATATATATATATATATATATATATATATATGTTTACAGATGTTCCCACCAAACCAGCAAGAAGAAAGCATTGGCCTTTTTAGGATTAATTATGTATGTGACAAACTTCCCTGTTTATATATTTTTTCTGTATATTTTCTTTGCCTCTGGTTTGCCTTCTAAACTGGAGAGAGTGATGTTGTATTACTTCATTACTATTTGATAGCTAAATTTTATTGACGGGCAAATAATTTACATTCAGAAAATATATAGAAAGAGTTGACTGTACAGTCACTTGTACATTTTCAATATTATTTTTTTCTATTTGGTAGTTCCATATTGGTACAATAACAAAAGGAGGAAAACCCCTTAAATTTAACCTTTTTCCAATAGCAGAATTATTGACTGTAAAAAGTGAAACATTATGATTAATTTGGTCAAAAAATTAGTGACCTAATTGAAAAAAGATAAAAAAATGTTGAGTGCTTTTTTACAATTATACCTCCAACGAATTACCACGATTTATTAAACTCCAGTAAACAATATATATATATATATATATGTCATGTCATTATTTTGTTTCTAAAGTTGAATATGGTGTCCATTTACAGGTTTTTAATACGACGCACTTGAAACAAAAATGGCATACAAGTACGTCATGTCATACTTATTATATCTTGATGTTGACGATGTAGCCACGTAGGCAATAGATCACCTTAGGTTATGAGCAAGCAACGCTCTAAGAAGATAACAAAAATGGCTGCAAACAATTTCACAAGATGTGGTGGATTGTATATACAAATTAAAATCTAAAAGTTCCTCTCAAGAGAAGAAAAAAGAATATAACAAATATTGCTTGGCATTTAAGATTAAAAGCAAAGTTTCATCAAATAAAACATGTTTGAAGACTTTTTACATTATTACAGGTTGATTCTGATCTCTCAGAGAAGCCACCCCTTCAATACTCAATTTCCAGCCACACAAAAAGGCCAATTTGGACATCATTGGAATCCGTATCGAAAAGGAGTGTTTCTGAAGGTTCTGTAACAGATCAACTGTACATTCATTTTCATTCTAACCCACTAATACTACTGCTGCTGCTGCTGCTACAACGCCTCCACTTGGTATTGGAGTGTCAAAAAACAGAGCACCAAAATATAGCTCCCCAGAAGCTGAACTAACAACTTCTAGTCGTCAATTCTCCCCCATCTTAAGACATTCATGTGTTACTATGATAAGCTCCGTCAACTTCCCCGGTTTTTAAGGAAAAGAGAAAAGGGAAAGGGGGTGAAGAGTGGAAGGAGAACAGTTAGGCAAATAATGTTGGCCTGTCTCCCCTCTAAACCAAGACTCAAACTGTAAAAATACTTACCCTTTGCCTCTATTATCCCATCTCACATCCTATTGAGTGCATTGTTCACGATCTTCACACAGGACCCTTCCCTTTTTCCTCATTATCCCCTTACCGATTCGGAGTTGATTTGGCTAGTACTCCCGGCAGGCAAATTGGATTCATTCACAGGCACAGAATACTGAGAAAAGTCCATCAAAAACTTCCTTTGGGACTCATTTGTGTGAGGAAGACTGGCTTGTAGAAGCTCGCAAGGCATTTCACGCCTTATAGCCTCTGAACTGATTACTTCTGTGGATGGCTGAGTTTGGTTTCGTATCGATCGGATGATTATCTCGTATTTACTCACACAAGACTTGGTAAGAAGGGTGAAAAATTCATTAAACGAAGCTCTCCAGAAAGCATAATTAGGCATGCTGCAACTTCCAGAAGGATGGCTTAGAAGTTTAGTGGCCCTTTCAAGAACTGATTTTAAAATAACAGACGCACCATCCCCAGCAGAGCTTCCAAGGGGCCTAAGTGGAGGCTGCTCTTTAGAACAAACAACTGCAACAAGGCATGCACTAAGTGCACGAAGATCCATTCCATTAACACACATGGAAACAATCTTTGCAAGGCCATTTGTTGTCCCTATTGCATCCAGATCCGAAGAAAGACCACCAAACAAGAACCTCAAGTGACGGAAAATGGTCATGCATGCTATCCGTATAAGCTCACTCCCAGGGATGAGAAGCTGAAGGAACCTAGTGATAAGCTTCCGGCCTTTTGCAAGAGAGACTAATCTTAAGAAAACAATGTCATCTTCAGGAGCGCAGCTAACTGCATGTGCACCTTTTCCAAGTGGATCAACAAGCTGAAGTAATGTCGCCATGCCTTCAAGCAGGATCTGCCGCCTCCATCTGAGCTGAGCCCCACCATCATGGGGTTGACTAAATTGTATGAGCCGGTCAATATCATCTATTTCAAGAAGAAGACTGAAACCATCTTCAATGGTGATTCTAGCTGCAAGCATAGGTTCCTGCTCTAGAGCCCTCTCAGTTTTCTGATCAGAACCAACACCTGAACCTAAGGGAGGATCAACTTCAAGCAGAGTAAGGGGTCTACGAATGGAAGAGAGGGATACTTTCCCATGTCCATCCATATGGAGATGCAAATGCTGATCCCCGCTGTTACGGGATCGAGAATGTGATTCTTTCTTGCGAGATGGGAAAAATTGATGTTTAGCCCTGGATGCAGAAGATCGTTTAGCAAGACAAGCTTGGTGGTAATAATCATCTACATAAGGGTCATTACTATGCGTCGCGGCATGCTGTATCTTGAGAATGCTCTCTATCTCTTCACCAGTCATATACTTGGATCTGAATTGCACCACTCCTCTCCCACTTTTCTGGCTACCAGTATCTGAACTTTGCTGAGAAAAATGCATGTTCTGCCTGTTTCTTTGTGATGATTTAGTTCGATGTTCCCTAAGATCAGCCAGTCCAAACATCATTTTGTGTGATGAAGGATGGGAATTATGCAGTTGAGATTGCAATGCAGTAAAATGTGCAAAAGATGGTTGCACAGCATGGTGTAGTCTCTGCTCTTGAAACTGCCGTTGAGGGGACATTAGGCTATTTAAATGAGGTATTTGCTGTTGCAACATATGATGCAAAAGACCAGCACGTTCTCCATGCAATAGACCAGATTGGTTAACCCAATTATTTTGAGACCTGCTACTAAAAGATAGGCCAGGAGATGTTAACTGGGGCAAATTACCGCCAAAATGTAATCCCTGAGATAGACCGGGCAGATGAAGACTGGTGGTAGACATCGGAGACAGGCTTGCTGCAGAGAATGGTGACTGAGATCCACTAGTAAGAACAGGAACTTTTAGGTTGCCAGGCAAATTCTGCTGGCCTCTGCTACCAGGAGGAGGGAAAGATGTGAAGGTTGATGATTTGGGTCCAACGATTGGTTCGCTTGAGAAGTGAAGCTCCGGTTGCTGCTTGGGATATGACAAAGTTCTATACAAAAGCTTTGATTCTGAAAAACGAGCAGGAGATGGTTGTGGCTGAGAAGACCATCTCTTGCCTTCTTGACCGTCATCTGTATCAAACATGAAGAGAGGCTCTGGTTGCTGCTGGGGATATGACGAAGTTCTATACAGAGGCTTTGATTCTGAAAAATGAGCAGATGATGATTGTGGTTGTGAGGACCATCTCTTGCCTTCTTCAGCATCTTCTGTATCAAACATATGCTGATCCATCCAGTTTAAAAACTCTCCATCTTGAGCCCAGTCATTAGCAGATGAACCTGAAAAAAATTTCACAACACGAAACATAAGCAATTAATATATAAATGTTATCAACCACTGTTGAACAGAATAAAATCATAACTGGACAAATTGGCAAGTCCAGATATTGTATTTTAAAAAAATGGACAATTCTATTGGTTATCTTAAAAGATGAGAAAGTTGATGCTTAAACTAAAGGAAGCTGTGTAACAGGAATTGCATATAATTCAACACGGAACTATGTTAGAACAAGAACAAGAGTGTGCACACTTTTTCAGCTTGGAAAGTAAAATGCAGAAGTCAGCTCAGAAATATGCCAAGGATGTAATAATACAAGACTCTTGCCAACTTCCATTTAATCTAAATCCATCTTCAGATTTCCATATATTCAATTCCTGTGTTAAAAGTTGAAAAATAAAATAATACACATTTAAGCCTTCTTTTCCTCTGAAAATAGTGTATAACACATACACACATAGAGAGAATTATTTATCATATACACCAAACTGACGATGATTTTCAAGCAAAAAAGTGGAAAAAAAGTGTGTTTTTTCATATAGAAAATGATATTACGATTTTTCAATCATCAATACAGATTTTAACCACATTATACAGGCATAATTATACTTACTTTCCCTTGAAAAAGAACCAGATCTATCACCAATAACTCCTGGATTTCTTGGTCCTGTGACAACCCTATTCAACTGCAGGAAAAAGAGAGAGATTAGAATCCAATCACCATGGAAGGACAACCAAAACAAAATAGGTAGCAAGAGAACAACATAAAACAAACATATATGAATCTGCAGAATTACGTAATATATGCATGCTAAGTTATTCAATCTGCCAACACCATTTCAAAACAACCATCTTCAAGCCAGTTTTTAGGCAAATAGAATGGAGAAGTCATTGTTGAAAACAGTAATTCTGATCTCCCCTCTCTCCCATTTAACACTATTCTCATAAGGTAAAAAAGCAAAATTGGAAAGGTCAGCTTACTGAAAACAATTATTCTAAACTCCTCTTGCATTTTAGATAAAAATAAATAAATCAATAAAACATAAAGGCCAATGGCAACTCAGGAAACAGGCATACTTATCAAATCTTATAAACAATTGTTACTGAGAAATGCTAATTATTGAGATTCATCACACTGCAACGTTTATAAATAAATAAAACATACCTTTGCAAAAGTACTTGCCAGATCATCCATATCAGATAATGACCCTAAACCTCCAACCTACAAAACAAATAACAGGTAAATTAGAGCTGAAGCAATCATGTTTCAAAATCAAGAAACATAGCAATTTGAAACCCAGATTTATTGGAACATATCAAAGGAATGAAATCTAACCTCCCCTCTGTCAAACAAATGGTACTCATCATCTTCAATGGATGCAAACATAGGAGCTTCCTCTTCACCATCTTCCAGAACTCCCAAAACCGCTTCTTCCATAGAATTTTGACCAAAAAATTCATACTGGGAAGCATCAAAAAACGCATTATCTGCAAAATTCTTAACCAATCAGAAAATCAAACAATACCAAACAAAAAAAACAAGCAAAGGCAATAAAGCAAACGGATTTAACGGTTAAGACTTAGACCCATTTGGTGGGTGAGGAAATTGATGTAAAGATCCAAAGAAATTTAATTCCTTTCGATCAAAATAAAAAAGGGGTTGGGGAAAACGAGGAAACAGGAAAAAAATAACCTGAGGAAATTTGAGAGAAGTTGCTGGGAATTTTGCCGCTAGATCTTTCCATGTTTACGAAACCAACCGGAAATGCAAACCCTCGATACAGAAGCAGCTGCAAAAGGAGAAAAAGGGGAGGGGGTTCGATTGAGGAGGAGAAGGCCAGCAGCGTAAATTAAATGGGATTAAGAGTGTATTTATTTAGGTAGAACGAAGGAAACAAACAAACAAACAAATCTCATAGTCTCTCAGTCTCAGAGAGAAAGAGAGACGAGGGAGACAATAAAATTGAAAGAAAAATGCAACAGAGTATCAACTTGCTAATTACTACTTAAATACGACAGGTTATGTATTTATACTATTTAATTTTATAAAAAAACATTTTTATCCTATTTAAATTTATTTATTTATTTAATATGTTAAAATTGTGTTTAAATATTATTAGATGACACTTGTAATGTTTTAGAAAATCATATTTAAATTTTTTAAAAATAATTAACTAATTTTCATAAATGTAATAATTTAAGTTTTAATATGATATGTATATAAAACGAGCATAATCAAGGATTGTTTTTCTTACCATGAATATAAGATATTTCAACTTTATTTAAAATTACAACTTAATAAGTGGTACATAATTAAAGTAAAAGGAATAAATATTTTATTGCCTTTTATTGTTATACATATAAAAACCTTTCATTTAATATCAAAAATTATGGGAATGATCACCTGCGGCAGCCTTAATATACAGTTAAAAAAAGACGTTATCGGTTATGTTATTGTATAAAATAACAAAATTGGTAAAAAATGACCGAAAATATTATTAGGCGCTACAAAATGACTGATTTTATTAATATTGGGCGTTTTAACCGAATTTTCGAATAATGACCGAAAATATTATTAGACGCTAAAAAATGATCGAAAATATTAAAAAACATTTTTTTAAGTAAAAATAATAATATTATTTGTAATTTTTTACTGATTTTATTATTTAAACAATGATAAAACCGATAATTCTTTATTTTAACCTTATATTAAAGTGTCGCACTTAAGAACTACTTACATTATTTAAGAGAGAATTAATTACTTTTAAAACATTATTATTAGTTGTTTTGGAGAATGATTACAGACTGACAGATGTGCACCCCTTCGAAAATTTGACCAATGAGATAAAAATACACCCCATTAAATAGGTACACCTTTTCTATTAAATTTGAAAAATATAAATGCCCTTAATTGTGATGCTAATGTTAAGGTGGGGGTGTGATTTTGTCGTATTATCTCAACTCTTAAGTTCAAAATAATTATGTTAAAATGTATTTAATTTTTTATTTTAAATATAATAATCAAGTTAATTAAATTAATGTTTAACTAATTAGATTTATTTTAATTTTATTATATATGAATGGATTAAGATTAAAATTATATAAATATATTAATAATAATTATGATGCTAAATATATAGGGATAATTATAAGTTAATAAATAAATAAATAAAAACAAAAAAAGCATATTAGAATGTAAAGATTCGCATTTATATATAAAAAGGAAAGAAAGTAAAGATTCCGCACCAAAATAAAGTAATATTCTTTTTTTTTTATTTCTCTTGAAAAAAGAGTGAAATTATATTTATTTTCTTGGTATATTAATTTTATATGAAGGGTTTGAACTCAAGCAGATTTATGTACAGCTCTTGAATTATTCATTTGACCTTTATGATAATAAGCCAAATTTTACCAAGTGAGATTTAATAATAGAATTTCAGTATATTAGATACCTTCATTTTCATTGTAATTTTAAAATATATAAAATAATCATTAAAAATTTCCAACAATTATAAAATATTTACCGTGGTAAAAAGGTGACATGACATGTTAATTAACAAACTTTTTACCACTAAAATTATAATTGTGAATATAAAAGGAAAATCAAAGAAAGAGAACAAAGTGGAGACATGGCGTGTTAGTTCCCAGGAAATTGTAAAAGATTGGAGATGGTAAAACAAGTAGGTGTGTGCCAAGCACATGTGAGCATTGATGAACTGTCTGACTAAACAACACCAAAACCCTAATGTTAAAGTCAAACTGCCATTGATGCAGATCTATGAAATAAAAAAAAAACCAAATGATAAACTACTCACCCCATTTTGCTCCGAATAATCTTCTAATTCACGTTCATTTAGTTTATATCATTTGGTTCACGTTCATCATAGCCATGGTGGATAACGGCAATAATACTGAAACTTAAATCCATTCAATCTCAACTTAAAACAAAAATGGTATGAAAAGGTAAAACCAGTTTTCTGGTCTTCATTCTACAAAATATAAGTTACATAAATAAGCCATTGAACCCAAAATTAGCAAAATCTAACTTCCATTTCTAAATGTATGAACCAGTGAGAATAGGCTTCAATGGTTTCCACCACCACCTGGCTCCAACACATCTTTTGGTTAAATGAGCTCAAAATTGAGGGAAAGATGAGAACAATGGACCTTTTAGAATGGCTGGTGCCAATTGTGTCCAAGATAATCAAGTTGCTTTTTGACGACCAAACCGTTGAAGACTTTTTGGCATTTCGGTTTCCGGATTGGTTTTCTGCTTCTTTTTGGATGTTTCGTGTTCCTGTGTTTGTTGCTCCAAGAACGGCCTCTTGGCTCTATCAATCATCTCTCTTCTCTTCTTTGCTCGCTTACTTGGCTTGTTCCTTCCCTTTGTTTTCTTTTTAAACTCGGTATCCTTTGCAGTTTCAATGGCAGCTTCCATTTCAGTTTCTATCTCCTTCGTTGGCTTCTTTTTCTTTTGTGGTGCTCTCACGGTACCGACCTTGGTTGGATCCAACATTATTGTTTCAGGGGGAAGCTTGTCAAGCAGAGAGTGCACTTCCTTCTCTCGCCTCTGTTTAGATGTTTCGAATGGGTTTGCCACCCAAGAATCGAAGTTCGGTTCCCCGGATCCCGGAATAAGAATACTAGACCACCCCATGGAGTGCCCTATACCCAGAATATCTTCATACGGTCGGAACATAACTTTCCCTACCTGATAACCTTTTGCCATAGAGTGAGTCATGTAGCTGCTATAATTCTGAGATCCAGAAAAATCGGCTAAAATTTGTATAAATGATCCAGTTCCAGCAGCAAGCAAGCCTTTCTGACTGAAATTCAAGGTCTTCGCATGGCATGGCAATGTTTGGATAACCTCAAACTTCCTCGTGTCCCAAATCTTGATTTTATTCTCTCTCCCGGATGTAGCCATGAGATGGCCATTGGGATGGAATGCCAATGACGAGACAGGTCCGGGATGACACAGCATCTTTACAAGTGGGACTGAAGTGGTGGGCTTCCACATAGTTATGGTACCACTTGAATGACCTAATGCAACAACCCCATTGAATGGATTGACCTGCATAACATCAGTGCGGCCTAAACCGGTCCGGAAGTTGCCTATCATTTCACCCATCGTAACATCCTGATAGCGAAGCTGCCCAAATTTGTTTATGGATGCCAAGAGGAAGTGGTTTTTCAGAAACTGAAGTCTCAGTACTGGACCATGCTCCTAGGAGGGGAAAAAGGAGAAAAACACACACTACCTCAGCTTGACTAAAGAATTTGGAGTAAACAACCAAGAAAAAGAATGATGCCAAAAGTACGCTACGATAAAAGCAACATATTTCCTGAACGTAGTAGCATAATCAAGGAATCATGAACAGATTTAATGTGTGCATGCATCATCTAAACCTCAGAAAAAACAGAAGCAACAAACTCTGGTGGGCCAAAGCGAAAAGAAAACAGCTGCAGAAATAATGAGTAACAAATTAATATTCTGAAAGCTCAATAGGCTTGGTCAAGCTACGGAGAAAGGCAGAAAATGATAAAGATGGTTAGAGACAAGAATTTCCAAGTTTCTTGGAAAACAATGTAAGCTAGGGGGAGGCAGAAAAACAGCAAGCTCAGATATGAAACAAACCCACCAAAGCATCTAATCTTCCTACCATATAATAAAGAATATAAATAACAAAACATAGATGAAATAGACTAGTCATTTAACTGGTTTTTACAAAATGAGAAATGTGAAAAGACCATTAAGTAATAATGTAATATAGCTAATTAAGTAATACAATTCATTGAAAAGTATACTGACCTTTAAACAATGGAGTTCCGTTCCATCACGATTGTAAATATAAGGGTACCTGCAATAATTAGCACCTTAGCTGCTGTTAATCCGATAAAGCTCTTAAAGGCTCTCATTAGCAGCATATAATTTTCATGCTGATGACATAATAGTAGAAATATGGCATCCTTGATAGACTGAAATAAATTTTATATAGGTATGACTGATGAATAAAATATATATATGATTTGCTTTCATAAGACTGTTACATCCAATAGAGAGCAGGCCTATATCAAAGCATATGCACCAATCAATCATAGAAAATTTGATACATACACTCCATGGAGATGCAAGCATAAGGGACAAGATTGACTTTTTTTTGTCCAAATGAAATTTCCACTTGTAATATGAGAAGGCTTACTTTTTCTGAGCAGCAGCAAAAAATAGTTCATTATGCAAGTACGCTACATCCCGTACTGTTTCTCTAACCTGAGCAAAAAGAACCAGCAATTATAGGTAGATCAAATCATCACTTTACTGGTGGCAAAAAAAATATCACTTTAGCACAATCCATATCATGCAATTAATTTTTAAGAGATTAACATTAAGCATTAATTGATGACCTGGAATACAAGAAAAAGTGTAAATTAATAAATAATCATTTTAATCATATACTCCCACCTAACTATACGATCACTTTGCTAATATCAGCAATAACATCTCAGGAAAGAATCCAACTGCGGTAAATCAAGTTTGTTAACATTCAAAGCATGTGATCAAAGTTCTACCTTCTTCCAACTAGCTGAATTTTGTAGACACCTTAGGATTATACCTGAGGACTTAGACCAGCAAAATGCAATGGCAAGACATATGCACGTTCCAACATTAAAATATTAACCTATATCATTTTTAATTGCCTATATCATATAAAATCATGAATGGTCAACAAAATCACAGTTATCAATGTTTATCATGACGCAGTAGGGATATTCAGATTCTCATACCAGGATGATGCCAAAGATATAGCATGGCTTTCAAAAATAAGAACCAGAGAACGGACTTTACACTAGACAGAAGACACTTGGATTCAAATGAACTTATCAGTTGTAGGTTTTAATGAGATTAAGTGCAATATAATAACTTCTGGATTCTCCCAACAGAGATCTAGTTGAAACTTTGATCTGTACAATAATTTACTTAAACTAAAGATTGCTAACAAAGCCTCGTACAAATGGGTGGAATGAGATATAAAACTTGTATCACATGGATTCATTTTCTAAGTGAGTTACAAGAAAATTTTCACTCCATGCCATGCCATCCATCTTCAAGAACAGACATTAAATTGAAACCATAAAAAAACCTCATATTTTAAGCATTATAGTAAAACTCAATACCAATATGATTTAGGTCGATGCAGGGGTCAATTAACTTAAATAACATTACAATGAGAACTTTCAAGATGCAAGATCAGACTAACACCAGCATCCCCTTCAACTACAAAATTTGATTATTGCAAAAGCAGTGCATACCTGAATCTCCTTAATTAGGTTTAATGTCTTCATATCAATAATAGCCAGATGGCCCTTGCGGCCAGCAGCCGCCATATATCGACCATTGGAAGTGAAATCTAGTGTGTATGGACCAAGTTCTGCACGTGTAGATGGAATCAAAAATGAGTATATAAAACCAAATGCACGTAAAACAAGCTACCATTAACATCAAGTTTATCTAATGATTGCTTATTCTATCTTGTGTTATAGCACATAATGCTTAGTCTAAACCACTAAAAACCTTCTTCAAAAGCCACTAAAACAAATTATAAACATTTGGTAAAGTACGCACCTGGTAGAACAATATCATACTGGTTTCTTGAGCTTAAGATATCAACCTCACGGGCAATAGATTCTTGCTTGATCCTCCATGTCTTCTCAATACCCTCTGCCTCCAAATAGCCATCCTCACTTGGCAAAAGCCACTGAACCCCCCCCCCACCGACCAAAAAATAACAAATTTAGGATTAAGAACAATTCAAATACGCACAGATATGTAAATTAAGAAATAAAAAGAATCCATTGCTTAAAAGGGAAGATAAAACTCACTTTCTCAATCTTGGCAGCAGTTTTGGCAGATTTCCCATACAAATCTTCTCTTACAGCAAGTTGGCCCTTTAGTTTCTTGTCTTTTAAACCCTGTAGAAAATAAAGAAGCAATTGAACAAAGAACAATTCATACAATAAGTAAAGATACAATAAATAAATAAAACATTGATTACCTCTAAATTAGCAGCTTCTCCTCTAAGATACTTCTTTACTTTCTCGTCCATCTCCTCATCGTTATTCTCCTTCTTAGCGCCCATTGTTACGGAGATGTAAGGAACAGACGCGATATTGGCACAAGGGGTTTGGCTTAGATGGCAGTCTAAATCTAAGTACTATGCGTAACTGAACTTCAGAATCGAAGCTGCAATGGCCGAAGCAGGAGATTGAAAGCGGCCGAGACGTTGTGCTGCTAATGTCGGCAAACCTATAAAGGCCTGCAGGAAGGAAAGCTGCTCTAGCTGAAATAGGCGACCGTAAGAACAAAACTGGCAAAGGCGGCAAGAAGGTAAGCAAACAAAGAAAAATTTTGATGCCCTTGCCTCAAATTTAGACTTTTGGGTTTAATCGGTGAAATTGAATTGGGCTGAATTGCACGAAAAAGCCCAAAGTATTCTCAATTCGAAATGTTGTCTTGGGCTCATGGTTTCTAATTGGGTTAATAATTTATTTAAGGTTTAATTAAAAAAATAAATATTTAAATTATATATCTTGTTTATCCTAACAAATTAATTTCTTTTTTTTTTTAAATTGGATGTCAAATTTTTTTTTCAATTATCATCTGACGTGTCCAAAATTCCTTAATATTTATTAGTTAAATATACTTATCGATGCCCCGAAAAGAGAGCCTATTAAATTGACCACCTTATATTCTCTGCCCCTTCGATGCAAAACTACAAACCCAGGAATCAACTGCTAAAAGGATAGAAGATAATAGAAATATTAATTCTTTTACAATATATATATATATATATATATCTAAACACGTGTAAATATTCATATTCATAACATCTTATATTGTTTTTTGTATAAAAATTAATGGTAGCATTTTTTTTGGTAAACTACACTCATGGACACTGAATGCTTAGAGTGCTTTCAATTTGGTCACTTAAATCGATTTTTTTATCAAAATCATTATCATTGAGAAAAACTTTTATCTCGATTATTTGACCATTAAACCATTAATAGTTTGACGTGACATATTAAAAAACTCTAAAAGCTTGATAGACATTAATTTTTTTTATCGTGGTTTCTATTATTATGCGGCGGTTTCTCCGATCAAGAAGATCATTGAAGTAGCTTTTTATTTTTTCAGTTTATACTCTTCGAAAAATTTTATAATCTCTTCAAATCTCAATTGAAACTAAAAATTAAAACCTTTGGATTCACCATTGATAATTTTCGAAACAACTTAAAAACCAAGTTATGCTAATATTTGGTCAAACATAGCATTTTTAAATCTCACCATTGGAATTGACCGACGACCGTTTAGTTTATCGAAAATTTGATCTTTGTGATGGCTTACAATTTAGAAACGTAAGGTTTTTTAGAAACAAAATTTTTAACGTCTCATGTCAACCTTTCTTAACGACAACCATTGAGAGTGGCTGTAATGAAAATAAACTGAAAATGTAATGACTAAATAAAAGTTTTAAAAGTTTGTCCATCAAAATAAAATTATCCTAAAAATCAGTGGGACATGAACGTAATTTACCCTAATTATTTTTAATTGCATTTAAAATTGTAACTCCCGAATTTGGTCGATAGTCGTGATTGGTATGGACTCTGATTATAAAACTCACTTTTTTTATTTAAAAAAGAAATCAATTTCAGCATCTTGTTAATGTCCCAAGACTTGGTTTTTGTAAGATAATCCACGCAGACACCTATCCATTTCACCGGAAAACTTCATATTTATACCTCCCTTTTCTCAGATATTTTTCATTCCACGATCAGCATAAAGAAAACCCAAAGTAAGATTTTTTTCCCTGGAAAAAAGGAAACAAATAGCAATGGGAAAGAAGGTAATTCATCAGCTGGCATCAACAAGAAGAACATCCAAGAACGTCGATGAGCAACTTCACAGCGTAAACAAAGTTTTGAGGCCCAAGGTCTATATTACCCACAGTTCAAGCTTCAAACAGCTTGTTCAAGAGCTTACAGGTCACCAGAACCAAACTGTTCCGATTCCGGACGACGTTGGGAAGGTCGTCCCGGTCATTGGAATCGAAGATCAAGGAGAAATATTCCCAGATTTCATCTCGACATTGTTTACGGATTCATCGTTGGGTTGTTCGTTGGAGTTACTTGATGACCAAGCATTTGGAGTGACTGATATGAACCAAATAGCTGAACTGTTGCAGACAGGTGATCGTGACGTGTCTGATGAAATGTCTAATTCGTCGACGAGTGACCAGCAGATTGATTGGTTAGCGTGCCAGAATCTGGAGTCATGGCTTTTCGACGCTGAGCCATATTGCAGTTCTCGGCATGAACAAGAGGTCAACCTGTTCGACTACGAGTTATTATCTGGGTTAATATGAGGTGCTCAGTTCAAATTCATATGTACATGAATCCAAAAGCATATATTATACATTAATTTAATTGATTTCGTTGGATAAAGATTTCAAAATGTTATCATAATTCAAATGTTCAAATGTGTACAAAAAAGGAACAAAAATTGTTGGAATACATTGGATTACAATAGCAAATAATTAAAACATTGATTCTAACGACCAACCCTCATTGACCCACTACCGCTTGTATACAACACATGATAATCAACATTGGATGAGTTATTTGCATCATTCTCATCGTTTCCGTTCATTTCACTTCCCCGCAGTTGCAATGCAAGCTCAAGTCCATACACCACTTCACTCATGGTCGGCCTTTTCATCCCTTCCGAAGCTAAACAACTTATAGCTACTTCTACAAATTTTAACTGGCTTGGAAGGCTGATCTTACCCTGTAAATATGGATCTATTATCTGATCAAGGCTTCCATTGTTGTAGCAATGTTGTGCCCACTCTGCTAAACTTATTTGCATATGATCCTCGGAGGTTCGATCTATCGGTAGTCTAGCACATAGTACTTCACACAATACCACACCGAAAGAGTACACATCGGATTTTTCAGTTAATTTCTGAAGACGGTAATATTCGGGATCCAAGTACCCAAAGCTGCCCTTGACGGCAGTGCTGATATGAGTGTTGGATAAGTCATTCATTTTAGACAATCCAAAATCAGACACTTTGGCTACCCATTTCTCATTTAACAAAATATTTGTCGTCTTCACGTCTCGATGAATGATGGTGTGGTTGGGACCTCGGTGGAGATAATGCAGTCCATGTGCAGCACCAATGCACATCTTGAGCCTCTGCTCCCATTGTAATGGGGGATTATTAGTGTTGTAGAGGTGATCTCTCAATGTCCCATGAAGCATGTAATCATACACAAGGATTATTTCCTTATTATCTTCACAATATCCAATTAGAGAGACTAAGTTTTGGTGCCTAAGTTTGGAGAGCATCTTGATTTCGGTCCTGAACTCAAGCACCCCTTGTTGTGAACTTGGATTGAGCCGTTTGATTGCAATGAGTGTGGAGCAAGCCTCAGTGAATCCTTTGTACATGTTGCCGAATCCTCCTCTTCCGACAATGAAACTCTTATCGAAGTTGTTGGTAGCTGTTTTGATCTCCCTTAGCGAAAAACGGCGACAAATATCAGAAGGTGGAGCAGGGATGCTGTTGTTGGCAAAGTTATTGGAACAGTTTTGGAAAATCAGGAAAAGTAAAAGAGAGACCATAACAATGCCAGAAATCGGAGCAACAACAGCAACGATAATTGTCCTTGTTGATTTATCGGGCTTGGTTGAAGTTTGCGGTGTATTTCCTTGTTCAAGATTAGGTCCGGCCAGAACAAAATTTTTTCTCAATTTGAAGATTTCCAGACCATTCAAGATTGCATCGGAAGAACGAGATGTCGAAGCTGGCGAAGGATGCAAAGCAATAGAGAGATTCTGCTGTTTTTGATTTCCTTGTGATCCTATCGGCACTACGTAATCCTTATATACTGGAATCCCATGCCCACCACTCCATGCCATAACATCAGCTCGAATCTCCGCGGTTAAATTAGCCAAGAAGATCTCAAAGACTCGATCACCTTGTTGAGTTCTATCACTTTGGAACTCACAAAAATGTAATCTTACAAAGTAATTAAACCCAGAATCAACAGGAAACTCCCAGGTGAGATTGTAGTTCTCATTCCCTGTCTTGTTTGTCCCCATTGTCCTGGCAGTTAGATAAACCACCCTTGGAGCAGAGAAGGATGGGGTTTCCCCGCTGAAGGTGAGCTCATTAGCGGTATTAACAAGAAGAGCACTTGGTTTCGCTATTGTCAAATAGTCTACATCACTTAACCAGTGCTGGAACACCCCTGTGTCTTCTTCCATCCCTCCAACGTTGATTCGATACATCATCTCAAGGGCTGTGTCTTCTGCCTGGGCCTGACCTAGAAAATTTACCCCATCGATAATTGATGGTCCATAATATAGATTGGTTGGCATATCAACAACTTCGATTCCGTTGATGAAAGCATAAGAATCAGTGATATCAGGTCTCGGAGTGAAGGTTATGTTTAACCCTTGACTTTCATGAACGTTAACAGAAAATTCATTGACAAGTGTAGGTTCACCACGACCAAAAAGTAAAGCACTGAAATTGCTGATAAGGGTAAAAGGACCAGCTTTAACAGAGAAGAAAGCTTTATTAGAAGGGCCTGCAAAGCCTGGATACGAAGTTGGATAGAAGTAGAAGCGAATGAACTTTGGGCCAGTGGTGAGGGGAATTGAATAGGTGAACTCTGAGTAAGATAGACGTGCTGTGGAATAAGGGACCGATCCAACTGATACGGGCAGCTGGGATTCAAGATTAACTGCTGATGATTTGTTCTTATTGTTTGATTGCTCTATGGGGATGAATTGTCCACCGACATCTCCGACCCATGGACGGCCATCAAGAGATTGGCCACTCATGGAAGAACCACAATCAATTGTGATGCTTTCTACAGGGATGTAAGGGGTAACATGGACATCTCCTGTAACAGGAACGACATGGTATTGAATGAAAAAGAAGAGGCAGGGAAGCAGGAGAAATAAGAGGTTTTGAAGGCAAACATTACATCTTTTGCTTGAATTTTCCATTGTAGGGGAAAAACAGAGAACCGGAGAGAGATGCAGGAAAGATTCTGTTACAGTATTCCTTCTTACATTTGAATTTTCTTACAACATTCTTTTTTTCCCTTCTACGTTTGTTTTCACTTGGTCAGTCAATTTACTACAGTTCCACATTTTTTTTTGTATTAGATTAAATGTCACGAACAATCATTTGGAAATATCTCTGCTATGTTACGATCATTACACCACATGGGTCATGGAGGACTCCGTCGTTGGTAGTAGGCTTTTTGGCACGATGGGGATTTAAATAGTATTTATGGTCACGTTTTCGGTCGCATTATATTTATCGTGATTGTAGATATAACGAACGATCACTGTAGGTGTTATGTAGTGCATGGAGTGAATATAAAATATTTTATTCTATTTATAGATGTCACATAATTTAATATGTATAATTTATTTAGTCTTTATTTTTCGAATTAAATTATTTAACTAAATCAAACTAAATCCACATTTAAAAAAATTGATTGAAAGTGTAACACGTTGACAAGTCAATGCTTATGAAGTGAATAAGACGGTAGAAACCTAGTTTCCAGGAATTGATGTAAGCCCATTTGGCTAGACTTTTTAAATGTACTTTTATTAAAAAAAAACTGTTTTAAACGTAAAATCAATACCAAATAATTTAAAAATAAAAAAGATAAAAAACGGTGATTTCAATCCAACCGTAAGAGTCATGAGTTATAGTTTTTTCATTTCTAATTTTATGTTTGGGAGCAAATTATAATTTTATTTTTATTAATGTATGGACTTTACTCAATTATATATTTATATATTTTTTAATAATTTAATATTAATATCTTTAAAAAATATTATAGTTTAAAAATATTATTAATAAATTATCTTAATTTTTTTTTTAAATTTTTATTATCGTTTAAGTGATATATTTTATATATTATAGTATTAATAAATGTAAATATAATTTAAATTCTATATTTTTATTTTACATTCAACAATAATCTCAAACATTTAAATTTTAAACTATATTCTCCATAAATAATTAAACATCCACCACCATTGCCAGAACGGTTGCTTTTCGAAAAGGGTTATAATCTTTTAGATATATTTAAAAAGCTTAAGGATTTCCCGCCCTCTAAAGTTGATTCGATACGTCATCTCAAGGGCTGTGCCTTCTGCCAGGGCCTGGCCTAGAAAAGTTACCCCATATTTAATTGCTGGTCCATAATGTAGATTGGTTGGCATTTCAACAACTTCGATTCCGTTGATGAAACCATTAGAATCAGTGATATCAGGTCTCGGAGTGAAGGTTATGTTTAACCTTCGACTTTCATGAACGTTAACAGAAAATTAATTGACAAGTGTAGGTTCACCGTGAGCATGAAGTAAGGCACTGAAATTGCTGAGAAGGGTAAAAGGACCAGCTTTAACAGAGAAGAAAGCTTTATTAGAAGGGTCTGCAAAGCCTGGATACGAAGTTGGATAGAAGTAGAAGCGAATGAACTTTGGGCCAGTGGTGAGGGAAATTGAATAGGTGAATTCTGAATAAGATAGACGCGCTGTGGACTATGGGAGCGGATCAACCGATGAGGGCAGTTGGGATTCAAGTTTAACCGCTGATGATTTGTTCTTATTGTTTGGTTGCTCTATGGGGCTTCATTTTCCATCGACATCTCCGACCTAAGGACAGAGATCCGGAGATGGTTCTCTCGTGGAAGAACCACAACCAATGTGATGTTTTCTGAAGGGCTGTAAGGGGTAACCTGGACATCTCCTGTAACAGGAATGACGAGGCATTGAATGAAGAAGAGATTCTGAAGTTAAAAAGTAGCTCTTTTGCTTTAATTCTCCATTATAGGGGATTAACCACAGATGAATTGTTGCTATTATTGTTTTCTTAAAAAGAACATTTTTCAACAATTGTCGCTACTAGATTCCTTTGGCTTCTCAGTGGAAGAAATAAGTTGTTGTTTAGGTGTTACTGGTTCATCTCGCAAAATAACCCCTTGCTTTTGTATGTACAACCATTTGTCTTGAAACAAGTAAATGAAAGCAATCCAAGAGATTTCAGCAGTCAAAAGTATGGTCCAAAGCTTTATGCTCCTTTATGTATTTTCATGATATGCTACCAATCCAGTGTAAATGTTGATTATACCTAATACTGAGACTGCAGTTCCCAGCAACCAGTGTGCAGAAAACCATCCACTTCTTCCCTTGGATCCCCTGCACACAATGTTTTATGCTCGGAATGTCCTCGAAAATCTCTATCCTATTCGGATATCCGTAATTGAAAAAATAAATTTTTCTACCTCCATGGACGAAGAACCCCAGTCAAGGCTTGCAACCATATGATACCATATAAAGCTAAACCTAGTCTTTGATGATGATCGTTGAAGGAATTATTGAAGTTTTTGACAGACATGACTGCCCCTACTGTTGCAAGAAGTAGTGAAAGGATCTGCTGAACAAAATCAACTGTTAAAAGCATGAAAAAATATGCATTTAAGAATCATTTCTTAGTAAATACCATAATTTATTATTCTCTAAACTATTACTTCAATGTAACCTTCTTCACTTGAGTCTTAAGCTACCTCTGATCTCACAATAATCATTTACAATAGCATATCAAAATCATTTCCCTTTTCTTGCTTCTCAAGCAATTGATATTACAGTAACAGTAAAGATGAACTTGCCTGTGAAATAACATGAACATAGAAAAGAATCTTAAGCCTTCTTCCACATGCTTGTATATTCGACATTCGGATAGCAAGTATCCCAATAGGCATAAAAACCCCCATTGATGCCCACAGGAGGAATCCATGTAGTTTAATCTCAAACATCAGTTTATGATTCACCTATTAAAAGATCAAACCAGAAACAAAATACTCTGAAGCTTCTTCATTTGTAATCAGAAAACAAAGTGCTATGTCAAGAAACATATCAATCTTGTACCTTATGAATGTTGCCTCTTTTATCTGCAAGGTCGCCAATGGACTTCCCATGTTGTTGAGATGATAAGCCGACGACAGGTGGCCCAAGTATGCTCGTAAGATATATAAACATGGCGAAACGAACCAGTTTCCCTGTCGGAATTTGCATTGTTGGTGCTGTATTAGTGGAAGACAGAGATGAACGCAAATGGAGCTTTCTTATGATTCGATAAAGCTGAAGTGTAGCTTTCACGTGCCATACAGTGGAAAATGGAATTGGTTTGTGTATGCATTGCATGGAATATTAAATAGATTGCAAATTTAGAACCATGTGGGGTTCACTTCTAGGGTAGATTATGAACAGAGAAGATGGAAGAAGAAGAAGAAGACATTCAGAACAGTGTATATAAAGTGGACAATGGCAGAGACTACACACCATCATCTGCTTCCCACTACTCTCATTGCACCATAGTAGCTTATTATACATTTACTTCGTATTTCTAGATATTTTGTTTATTAATATTTGGAAACAGGCATACAGTGACGGATGCAAGTGTTATTTCGGGTGGACATATGTTCGTTCTGAAATCCGAATTTATTTATTTAGAAAAAGCTTAATTACTCTTATTTTTCTAAGGGATATTTTGAACAAAACTGATTTTGTTCCCAGGATGATTCCAAAAGTTGAGAGCCACTGTAAGAGTAATTAAACTTTTTTCAAAAGCTTAATTACTCTTAATTTTATTGTTTTATCCTGATTAATCCGGACCGATTCGCTTGTACCTAACAACTTCCAATTTTGTAACCAAAGACTTCATAAGATACCATTCAAAGAAAGGAAGTAGGCTATTCTGGTGGTGAGGCTTTTTGAGGCTTAGAAGCGAAGCCCAAGTGTTTAACGCCTAAATCGTACGCCCCATTGTCTTGTCCAATAGAAAGAAGCTTCGGGCTATGGATGTAAAGGAAATAATAAAATAGATTTTTTTAATAAAAATAAAGTTTAATAATAAATAAGTCATTATTATCTTTTAAAATAAAATATATTTAATTAAAATATTATTATAAATAATTCATTTTATCATTAAAATAAAATTTTAATATATTATGATATCATATATTTTTTAGTTTCAAAAACTTATATATTTCAATTATATCTTAAGTTGTAATAATTTAAAAAATTTAATCTTTAATATTTAAAAAATAATAATCTAATATATTTATTATGATACTATCAATAAATCTATCGAATCAAAATAGTAATTAGATCATTATATCATATAATAAAGTCACAACAAGTCACTATTTAACTATTATTATATTAAGTTACGAACTAAGTTATCTCAGTAGTCAAAATGTCGTTTTCTTTAAAAGGATGGTTATTGTTTATAAAAGTTTTGCCCCCCTAATTAAGAAAAAAAAACTATTATTATACAAAAAAAAGTAACCTAAAATCGTATAATATTTTTAGGAGATTAAAGATTAAAATGATAATCTTTTTAAATATAAATAGTTAATTTATTGAATTATTTAGAATTAAGAGTAAATAAAAATTAATATAATTTTTTTTAAAATAAATTATTTTTATATCAGACGATATCACTATTTTATCTAATATTTGTTAATATAATAATATATTCATAGCACATTTTAATTATATAACTTGTTTGTATATTTTATAAAAAAATAATATATTTATTAACATTTTTCATCTTTGTTTGAGAGACAGACTGGGATCAGTCTTAGCACTGATCTTTAACTGCTTATTTTATTTATTTATTTTAAAACTTTTTATATTGTATTTTTTATTTTTTTAATAATAATATATTTATGATATTTTTTTTTATATTTTGATACATTTTCGATATTATTTATTAGTTATTTGATCATTTTTTTGTTTAATTTTATTATGGTTAGATTTAATATCATCTCGACTGATTAATATGACTCTTATATGTTAGTTTATTTGTCTTTTCTTTCTCAACAATGATAGAAAAATATTCTAATTATCTATGTATTTAGTTTACTTTTATAATAATAAATTTTTATTATAATTTTGAATATTTTATTTTTAATAAAACTTAACTGATTTTATTGACATAAAAAATATATAAATATATTCA